GAGGTTGCTGTGCGGGTGGAGGCGCCGGCGAGTCGACATCCATTTGACTGTCGTCCCCTGGCGCAGGTGTACGAGGACGCTTGCCGAGCACCGAACTTGATGGGCTCGCAGCATCAACTGAAGGTGATTCGACGCGTACGACTCTCGGCGGCGCATCATCGACCAGTGTTGCGTCTGTATCGTTACTTCCATCGCTCTTCGCGCGTTCATCTACACGACCTGCAGCCTCATCTTCCTCCTCATCCTTGCTCGTTACGAGTGCGAGCTTTGCGAGCGCAAGAGATGGGGTGACCGCAGGCGGCTCGCCCGTTTGCATATGGACGAAGAGCTCCGCGAGGCGATGAACAACTATAATGCGCGCATAGAATCAGCATGAAGTGGCTCAGATAGAGAGCTGATATTGAACGCACACTGCTTCGACCGCGCAATCTCCCTCCTCGTGACAAGCCTACCACCAACCCTATGCCTCGCAAGCTCATCATCCGTAACCTTCTCGCTCTCCTCGTCCAACTTGCTCGATCCAGGCACGCCCATCTCATCATCATTATCCAGCTTGAACTTGCCGGACATCGCAAGCGGTGCAAGTGCTTCGCGCAGGTCTTTGATGGTGTAGAAGTACTGGAGAAGGGAGTTGAGGTAGCAGGTGTTGCCGAGCTGGTTCAGGCCGCGCGGCCAGTCGCGGCGGGGTTGGAGGGCAAGATCGCCGGCTGTGTTGAGTGTCAGCATGTGCGCAAGATGGAGTGGTGAAGGTGCTCACGATCAACACCGATCTCGAGGAACTTGCGTAGCCGATCTGAGTCGCGGTACTCAGCGATGACCGCAAGCGCCTCCCTCAGCCTATCCCTCTGACTCGGCGAGTCCTGGCACTAAACAACGAACGATGAGCGATCTGTCCACCTTTCCCTCACAGATAATGATCACTCACGTGGAACTCGAAGGCAGTGATCAACAACGCATCATCCACCGCGCTCTCCTCCACATTGAACGCCCTAAACGCCGCGCCCGGATCCTGAATCCCCCCACTCTTCGCCTTCTCCCACTTCGCATACAACTCCGTACTCCCCCTCGCCTCCGCCACGACCCTCACAGCATCATTTGCCTCTCCGGCTGTGACGACCTCTTCCTTATCCTTCGTCGGTGACGAGTAATCATTACCGCCAGAAGCAAACGAAGCGAAGAAGTCGGCCGTGCCGAGAGACTTTGCTCGATCGACGATGTTGTCGATGATCCCCATCGGCTCTTTGTGTGACTGCGCTGGCGCGCGCCAGGCACGCGTGACAGCGTGTCTCCATGCCCGCTCGACGAACTCGTCGTCCGCGTCGCTGAGCTCGATGCCCAACGCCGCGTCCCGCCCGAATCCTAGCTTCTTCGCGGCAGTATCCTCATCTCCTCTCATCCACCGATTGCGTTCGCGTTCGGAAACAACGAGGTTCTCTAGCATCTCGAGCTCCGCACGGACGGTCTCGGCGTTTACATTGGATACAGATGACGCTTCGCCCGCCGCGCCGCCCATGGACGAGGCCATAGCGGCGAGCGTGGGCGAGAAGAACGTGGACGCATGGGCCGTTTTGAGCGCTTCGAGGAGCGTTTGGAGAGCGATGAAGTGGTCGGGTGTGTATTGCGGTGCGCAACGGGCTTGGGCGAGGTAGGCGAAGGCCAGGAGAGTTGGTGTGCATGTTGTGCTCGTGAGGCCGAGCTGGGCGAGGGCGGAGCGGTTGTCGGGGGTATCGGATGGTCGGGATTCGTTGCGGGGGACTGTATGGGCGGATCAAATATTAGAATGTGTGAAGTCCACGAGATGGTGAGATGAAGACATACGTTGATCCGGGTGGGCGCCTATCGCGCGCTGGTACTCTTCCCGCGCCTGGGCGACTTTGATTGTATGCGCGAACTCGGACGCTCGCTCCGTATCTTTAGCTGTGAAGATGACTGCGTGTCAGCATGTGCGAATGGCATTGAGGCAGAAAGATGAAAGAGCGTAGATGAAAGCACTGGTACGCTAAGCTTCTTCGCAAGCTAGGGCGTTCCGCACAGCCGACTCAATGTTGGGCGTGCATGGATCCCACCTGATCCTCCAAAGCGAAGGTATGAAGCCCAGCGTAAACTCATTCGGGTCAAATCATGCCATGTAGCTTCAACGTCTTCACAAACTAGCCTCGCGTGACGATCGCTCTCGCAAGGGAAAGGAAAGGCGAACCGTCAGAAGGCATCGTGAAGAACCACTCCACAGTATCAATATCCAGACGATTGCATCTTCCTCCGTCCCAGCGAGAGCGTCGTCGACTTGCTCAGGCATAGAAGTGGTGAGGGACGCATTTATCTCATGCCCCGCGCCTCGCGAAGACGAAACGGCTCGACTCCAACGCAAGCCCGGTCGGGTTTCTGATCGAAAGAGGATAAACTCACGATGCCGCCGGATATAATCCCCCGCAAACGCCCCGAGCTCGACCCACGCCCTCAGCAGCTTCTTCCTCGCTGTCGCATCGAGCGAAGAAGGAGAGGGCGGGGCAAGCGCATCATCGCTTGCCGGGTTATTCTCGAGCTTTTGGAGGGTGAAGCCCAGGGCGTCAAATATGTGTCGGCTGGGGTCGAATCAGATGGCTATCAGGCGTATGTTCGGTATGAGAATGAGGGGAGGGAGGAGACGTACATTGTTGAACTCCAGCCCAGACGGCGTTTGAAGGCACTGCGGGTCACGGGCAGGACGCGATGTTCGCCTTTCCAGAGGAGGTTCTGCAGTACGCTATATGTACGATCAGAGACCCGACGTGTCATGGCTGTGAATGTCCGTACTTGATGATGGTCTCAAGGGCGAGAAGTGCACTCTTGGGTCCCGATTGGCCTGGTTGCGGATTCTGCTCCTTGTCACGGATGAGCTCGTCCAGATCCTGTCAATCGGTTCAGATTAGATCTGTAGATAGTAGCATTCGGTAGAAATATACCTTGACAGAAATGACGCCCGGGATCACATCTGGGCTCGCAAGCACCCTGAACTGACACTGACAGCAAACATACATATCCAGCAACAAGCCCTCCTCTTCCTCCTTCGGCGCCTCGCCTTCAACGCCTGCCATCTCGACGTCCAGCTCGCCCGGCGCACTGGCAGAAGCCTTCAACACCTTGTCCAGCGCCTCCTCCACGCCTGGTTCGTCGGTCGCACCAACAGTAGCTGCCCTCCTCCTCTTCTTGACCTCCCCCTCCTTCTCCCATGCCTGTCGCACGAACGGCGTAGGCATGTACCTAGCATCCACAGCGCGCTCGTATAGATGTAAATGATGCGTCTCGTCTTCGCGCTCCTTGCCGTCGTCGGCCGCACAGCACTTCTCCCGTGCCTTTCGACGCGACAGATCGGGGAGGCGCGCATCGGGATGGGCGCTAAAGAAGGACGGCACCAGATGCGGATCGAGCGCCGATGATCTGGCGTGAAGGAGGATCCAGCCGTTGTGTTTCCGGCAGTACAACGCCGAGGGATGCGGCACGCTCTCGCGGACTTCTTCCGGCGTAGGCGGCGTAAAGTCTGGCGCAGGAGAAGGCGCGGGCGCGGGTGAAGAAGTGCTCGCGCGACTCGTTGACGCCGAACTTGAATGCGAAGGCCGGAATTCGGGCGGAGAAGGTGTCACGTTCAGCAGCGTATGGTCGTCCGAGTGCAGCCTCTCTGCCATCGCGCTGGGCAGCATCCCGGCGCCTGGCCGCCCCGCGTACTCTCGCGCCGCCGCATCCCACCACCTCTCCTCCTCGTATGACTCGCGCCCCGTGATGCGCACCGGCGCTTTCAGCTCCCTGAAGTTCGCCATAGGAAGGAGGGAGTCCCAGTTCGCGGTTGTCTGTGCTGTCCAGTCGCTGTTATTATTGGTATTATCCCACGCGGAGTCGTTGTTGTTGCTCGTCCAAGCACCGTCGGATACCCCGACTGTGTTGTTGTCCCATTTCTCAGAATACGGCTCCCAATCCCTCGTCTCGTTCCCTTTCCATCCGTTCGATCCGGATGCGTAGGAAAAAGGCGCGGCGTCGGCGTCTTGGAGGGGTGGCATATTGTCGGCGTCTTGGAGGGGTGGCATATTGTCGTCGTCCGCATCGTTTGTGGACACGAGCTCGGGCTCACGGTACGACGCCGGGTCTGTACTGTCGAGTACGAAATGTTGCGTGTGCGAGCTGCCGTCGCGGGACTGGGCCGGCGGAGGGTTCGAGGCGGTGTTGGCGTAGAAAGATGAAGGTGGGACGGCGGCATCTGGCTGCTTCTCGGGCGCCTGCTCGTCTGCCTTCCAGGAGACCATGACTAGCTGTAGTGGTCAAGAGATCGCAGGGAAAGATCAAATGAGAGACAGATGGTCGGTGGCGAATTCAGATCGAGGTTCGCGATGATTGTCGCGCCGCGCGTCGTCCACTCGCGCCCACAACGACGTAACCGCAGTACACCCGCCGCTACCGCCGGCGACTTCCGTGCTTTTGCTCTTGACCAGCACGGGACGTATGAACAACGCGCAAACTACATTGTACTCTCTTCTTTCTCGCCCAGTCTTCAATCAGTCTACGCGCGTCGCTCCCGCCTACGAAGGAGTGAGCTCCAACATAATCGTAAATACGGCATGATCTCGCAGAGGACGCAAATCACGGCTGATGGCCTACGGCCCATAATGGCACGACAACTCGCCCCGTGGATAGCCCCGATGACTTCTCGACGTACTCAAGATATTGTATGAGGAGAGATTGCCACAGGGCTGTACAGGAGTGTAAATAAGTACACTGTGCCCCGCATGGTAGTACATACTACGCCACTCGTCCTGCCACGTATGTATAAACCACGAACAAACCTCGTCTAATATCATCGGTACTAGTCGCTCTACTCCCCAAATGTGGTCTCTTGTCTTCTAACACCGCTCTACAGTCTGTTCTATCTTGGATCCGATGACCCACATTGCATCTTCGCCTGAACTTCTTCCTTGCTTGCCTTGAATGGTGACAACACTCGAACCCAGAGCCATGCCGTATGTCGAAGAAGGCGCATGACCTGCATGAGGCTTTGGCCACGCTGTATGCGCGAGCTGATACGCTCGTAAACGTGCGTTGACTTGGAACGCCCATAATGTGCGCAAGTGGTAAGAACTCAGCTCTGTGGAGTTCGTCACATACCTCTCATTCGTCCTTAGCACCTCAGGGCAGCCGCTCACTGAGACATAACAAGAGAACTTAGTGAAAGGTCAGGCATGGTATATGAGCACACACGTCGTGCTCTGCGTATGCTGTCTTCCCCTTCATAGATTGCTCTGTGGCTTGTGGCGCATCACCATCACCAGCGCTTTGCTTGCGTGATTCTTATCAGAACCGAAGACAGATATTGAACGACTCGACCCCTTTCTTTACCGCCCTCTCCGTTCCGACCAAGCCCAACATGGTACAATATGCACAGATCAGCGGGAGAAGAGCTTTACAGCTGACGAGTCCTACAGGCGATAAGCATCTCAAGCAGCTTCGCAAGCGCTTCGGAGCTCAGATCCACCGCAACTTTATCAGGTCGCGCGCATCCTGTAGGTCGACTCGTGATCATATAACTCGACCTCGTACTCACTCGCATGATTCCCACGTCAGCTCGAGCCCGCTCCACTCGTTGCCACCACATCCGTCTCGGAACCTCTGTTCAGTACTACACTACTACATCATGAGCGCTGCGGTCACGCCTTATATCCTTCCCGATGACGAGTCGACTACGCGCGACGGGATCGAAAAACGCTTCGAGTGAGATCTTCTCCAGCAGTGCTGATCTTGTGAGCTCACGCATACCGCAGAGAACTTCAAGATGCCATGTGAGCAGATGATTCCCAGACTCCACGCGTCTGATTGATAATGTTGTCAGTAACTCTCCAATGCCTCACCTTAGAACAAGGAATAGGTGAGCCTTGTTAGTTGCCGGAAGCTCCCACTTCTCATAGATCGCGAGGCTACATGCACTGCTTATAGGTGTCGATAAATACTTCAACGAAGAAGACAACCTTTCCGGCGCTGTGAGGGATGCACGGCGGGTTGAAGCGCTTCTACTTGGCCTTGTCCCACCAGTCAGCGACGAGAATATCACAGTCCTCGAGAACGCTTGCGATCAAGATATCATCGACCACATTCGACGCCTTAGGACGAACCCTTTCATCAAGAAGGACGACCCCATCCTGATCTACTACGCTGGACATGGCAGTAGTCTTCCAAGACCGCCCGGATGGCCCACCAGAAGCCAACATATACAGTGTTTATCCCCTTCCAATGCTAGAGTGGAAGACGGGAAGGTTGTGGGCGTGATCACCGATCGTGCGTTTGGGGCTCTTCTTCAAGACCTTGCCAAAGCAAAGGGGGATAACATCGTGCGAGGGTTCACATTTCTGATCATTGCATCCAGTGTCTAATTTGTTGAAAAGACAGTCATTCTCGATAGCTGCCACTCCGGCTCCGCTACTAGGACGGGTCCTAACACTCGAAGCCTTCGTCGCGGCATCGATTTCAGGGACAAGCGCAGCGGTGAAAAGTACACCGTTGGCCCGACCTATCATGGACACATATGGAACGGCTTCGAGGGTCAGCCTGATAGAAAAGACTCGAGCCGAGCGCTTGCCGACCTACCCGTATTCTCTTACGGCGGGCTACAATCGCATATTGTCCTAGCAGCTTGCGGTCCGAACGAGTTCGCGTTTGAAGATTTTACGATTGGGGAGAGCGAGGTGCCCGTCTGTGAGGGGCGCTTTACGTCTGCCTTACTGCGCGAGCTTAAGGCTACGGGACCGGACACCATCACGTACACGGAACTGATAAGACGCCTAGGAAACATCTCCTCGTGAGTATGTGCATGTTACTCTTCATATAGCAATCTAACGGAGTGCAGCCAAACTCCCCAGTGCGAAGGACATGAGAAGGATCGACGTATTCTGTTCAAGACCGCTCTGAAACAGGGCAATCGCCCCTACTACAGCGTGTACCGAATAGAAGCGGGGTTTATTCTGAACGCGGGGCAAGTCAATGGCGTAGCCGTGGACGATGTTTATGCGGTCTACGCGACCTCGGATGCTCTGGCACGTCAATCGGAACCCCCTCTCGGCGAACTTATGGTCACCGAAGTGCGCCCAGTATCGAGCAAGACCATTGTTAAATCCGACCTTCACATGCTCGACGACCATCCGTCCGCCGTTGCTGTATTAAGCCGCGTTGGAAGACGCAAGGCTCTTCCCCTACATGTCCACCCCCAGCTCAAATCCATCGCAGCCGAGGCGCTCGCGAAGGAAGTGGCCCAGTTCTCCAGGGATCCAGAATACACATTCGTTCTTTCGTCGCTGGATACTGCGGTCTTTTCAATCGTCCCGGTCGGCAAGAGTGCGATCGGTTTCGATATCTTGGACAAGCGTATGACGGATCATGGGCTACACAGGCTTGATGCAACCGTGGATCGCGACGTCACCAAGTTACAGGTTGTATTGCGTGCAGCCGCGCATTTCTTCTACCACCTCAACTCCGCCCCACCCAAACCAGGCCTCAGACGACAAATTTCAGGCAGTATACAGGAGTTGTCATACGAATTTGACTTCGACGGGTCCGGCGTCCCGAGGACATCGTGGCAGGTGACCGGTCAACCTGTCGACCTTCATTCCCCGGACCGCGGGGCTTTCTACCCCAAGGTAGCTGTGCCGGGCGCCTCGCACGAAGATCGCACATGGTACGGCGTCACAGTCGCCAATCGACAGCCCGGGGAAGGTGTCAATGTTTACCTGTGGATGTTCTATTTCGACTGCCGTACGCTTGAGATTCGTAAGTGTCCTACCAGTTTTCCGATTGCCAGTATATCTAACGTGTTCGTCCAGGCTCATTCTTCCAACCTCCCGCGGGTAGAGTCGAGCCGTCATTGCAAGCAGCTTCGAGCATTGATGTGCCACTCAACTACGGTGACGCTGGTAGCCTGCCACTCACATTCGACTTACCAAAAGAACGCAAACTTGACATCGGCTTTCTCCGCATATTTGTCTCGTCGCAGATAGCTGACTTGTCCAATATCGCTCAGAAACCCGCCATCGGCGGAAGGGTCATGGCGCAATCCACCCTAATACCTCCAGCGCCTGCGGCTTGGGATGCGATTACCATCGCTGTTGTGCAGCATCGCGAGGCCGACGATGTCACTGCAATCGACGCAGTGCCAGATCCACATGACGTTCCCAAAACTGATCTACGCGAAGAACGTCCCAGCAGGTGGGCATGGGATCCGTTGAAGACGGCAAAGGGTTATCTCGGCTTGTGAGGTCAAATGGTGCGCGTTCTTGCATTAGCCTAGAAGTGCGATATTCCAATTCTGAATTTTCTCATAGTATGCCAGCTGATGTGCGCTCGAAGACTTCTTTGTTTCTTATCCCATTCGGCGAAATGTCACCGTGTATCACTCATGTGAGGCAAAGCGTATGTTGACTCATAATAATCAATCTACCTATCGTATCAAAGCACCCTCCTTTACTACCTCTACACTATCCGATATATCCGACCACTGTATCACGGTGTCCACAGAGCTCAGCGCCTTTCACACGCCAAAATGCACGAAGGGGACCCATTTCGCAAATTTTTCCTCGCCTGATCGCTTCCTCAATCGCCTTGTTGCTTCGTGAAGTGCATACGCGGCACCGGTTTCTCCTCTCCGTACCGCTTTCGTCTCACGCAAGTGCAACAGATGTCGATAGAACGCGGTCACGACTATCGGCGCACAGTCGTCTTCGATTGCCCACATGGTGCCGACCACACCTTTGAAGCCTACGCTCAGCATTCCTGCAGCGAGGTGCGCAGATTCCTCGGGAATATTCTTGTCTCCAGTGGCTGTTGAACAAGCCGAGAGGAAGGCAAGCTCGGCATAGTCTGCCGTTATGCCCATCAACGAGTTCATCGTCAAACGACCGTCGTGAAGCGCGAATGCACTTTGCGCTGGATCTCTATAATCTTGCGAGCCGTGACAGGCAAGGTGAACCCAAGCATATCGGTCTATGTCAGATCTGACAGACTCCACAGTGCCATTCTGACCGTCCAGGACCTTGCTTTTGATTTTCGATCCATGCAATAACGACCTCAGGCGTCGACGTTCTTCGTCAACTTTCGGAAGAGCTTCATGACCGGGTGTATTGGGCTGGGTCACAATGAGAACATCCGGCTGCTGCAGGCGCCTTTCACTGACCCCGTGGCAGCAACGCACAAGTGCAGTGAGCGATGGGGTGTACGATGAGACAACAAAGTCGAAGACACGGGGACCAGACTTTAGATCATATATGCCTGCCGCGTGCAAGGGTAACTGAGTGAGCGGACCTGTGGGGCACCAAGTAATGTGTGGCAACCGCTCGGAGCTCTGCTTCGGAATCATGTCGAACCCCAGATTTTGTAGGATCGGCTGTACAATCCATGACCACAGTTGCCCCAATAGGAGTTTGTGAGGCCTGGTATGGATGCCGGCCAAGTCCTCCGGGATTCCACGTTCGCGGCCCCTTCCTTCTACAATGTACGCGGACCACAAGGATCGAAGTGTTTCCGCTCGCTCCGAGGTCAACTTCGGTAAGGCAACGGCCCTGATACCGCCGCTGGGAAATAATATCAAGGCGTCACAGCGAACATTATCAACATTGATAAACACGACATGGCCACTGAGAGCGTTCTTCGGTGGCAAAGCAAGTAGTGCTCTCAGATTTTTCGGGCGCAAAAAGTCTCCGAAGCCTGCGCACTTGCGAATGCGGGTTACTAGGCGCATGTACTTAAAGTGAAGGTCACGGTAAGGGTCCGAGACCTTTCTTGTGGGCTTTGAACGGAACATGGGACGACCTCTTTCGTCCGCACTGTGCGCTGAACGATGAAATACGCGCTCTCGGCGCTCATAGAACAGGTCGAGCATCACCGACATGGCGCGTGCTAACTCTGGGTGGTGTCGCTTGAGTTTTGAAAGAGGAACACGAAGTGACACGGTTTGGGACCATACAAGCGACCGCCCGGATGTAAGCCACTCGACTGCCAATGAACGTTCCCCAGCAGCGATGGCAGCAGCTACAGCGGTGTTGACGATCGGCCCAACGGCATAGGAGGTTTGATAACGTTCATGAACACTTTCACCGGGCCAGACGGTCTCTGGCACCAGCATCATGATGTGCGAGTACACCAGCATGATAGATCTTTGAGAGCTAAATCCAGGGTTCTCTGACATGAACTTGACACAGTATACCGCAAGATCTAATCTTTCCAACACATTGCCATTGAGCCCGAGCGGCAGAAGAATAGCAGCCATGAATTGTGATGTGGCCTCGTTGAAGTCGATCTGACGATGATAGCGTTCAAAGTTGCGCTGCAGGGCCAAACCCAAGCTGAAGTAAAGGTACAGCTTGTTCGAATTATGCTCTGGGGTCATATGAACGGCGCGACGATAGACTGCGATCGCTTCACGAAGGTAATCTATGTGCCAAGTCCGCTCATAGCGTAAACAAAGGAGGTTTCCGAGCTCGCGCAGCGACGAGATAGTATGCTCATCACCATCCGGTGGCCTGAGCATGATCGCCGACGATACTGCAGATGTTGCAGAATCTAGGGTGGCAAAGAGGTTGATACGCTCGAGCAGGCCTGTTTGGGATCTGAGAACACTATCGCATAGGGACAAGATGCCATGTTCGCAGAAAGATGATTGACCAACGCAGTGATTATATTCGATTTTGACGTATACGCCGGATCTTGGGTATGGCTTTGACTTCGAATGTATGTTAACCGAGTACTGTGCGGCATAACGCAGTACGGAGATCCCGCCCTGTTCGAACTGGCCGACTCGAATATAGCGACTTCGGGTCTTGTGATCGAGATCCTGGCGAACGATCCGATCCCTTTGAGTGATGGGTGAAGTAAGTAGAGCCGCGCGATGGCATGCGGTCAATACATCTTCCGGTTCTCGGAGAGTGAGCGCGAGCGTAAAACGCAAGCGTAGGCAGTGAACGATATTGGCAAAGATATCCCGCCTCGCGCCGTCCGCGCCGATGGCTATGATGCCGAGATCAAAAGCGTAGTGAAAAGCCATTGTTGCGTGATCAATATCGTCGATGGCGCCCGTTCGTATGAAGCGGAGCCTGAGAAGATAACCAAGAAGGTACAACTTGTGTCTCATGTGCACATGCCATGGAGGTATCTTGATAAGGGTATCGCACAAGGACGCTATTTCACGGTTCAGCGCTGCGAGGTCGGCGCTCTCAATGACTTGAAACCGCTTTTCGACGGACCGAAGTTCGAACAACCATCCTGCGCGCATGATGAGATCATCTTGTGGCGCCAACTCTAGGCCGAGGCAAAGCGCCATCATGGAAGACGAAAGATCTTCGGTATGGTTGTCCACGTGATTCGAGAGAATCCTCCACATATTGAAAACGAGGCCTGGCTGATCCAAAATGCGCGCATGCAGCGAGACCAGCATTGCGGCCCTCGTGGAGTTCGGTGGATGCATCAGCCAGGATCGTGTATACAGCATATCGGACAGAGCTTTATTGAGACGCAGCTTCAACGGGTGATCCGACACAAGGCGAACCATATGTCCAAGGGACATAATAACACTGTCAAAATCATGACGGTCTTGCAGTGTCGATGTGCAAAAGCGAGCAAAGAATCCCTCGACGGCCGCAAACATAAAACGCGTCAATTTCAAGTAAGGCTTTCCTTGTGCTAGCTTGATGGCGTGCTGATACGTGGAGACTGCGCGTTTGAGGTCCGCGAGCTTCTCCGAGCGTTCGTAATGTTTCAGCAAGGCAATTCCTAAGTAACTGAGCCAGACTGTCTTCGCAGTATAATTGTCAGGAACGAGTTCTATCGCCCGAGTCAGTGATGAGATGGAGAGTTCGATGTCTTCTAGTGTTTTGGTTCGGCTGAAACGATATAGCATGGCGATGCCAAGACCGGAAAGCCGCACAGGTTTGTCAGGGTGAATGTCAGACATGGTGTTTATGGCTGAGCGTAGCCGGCGACACAAGTCCGCGAGATGTGCAAGCCATGTCGGTCTCTCAGCATGACCGTCGGGTAGAATATTGATCGCTGTCCGCAAGCCTAGAAACGCGTTGTCGAGGTCACTGAGGTCGTTTAGAATTCGATAACGAAGTTCGAATATATCAGCGAGTTCTGCGTGAAGATTCGCCTTGCGTAAACATGATCCGGACATCTTGATATCGCCAGAGGACTCTAGGTTGCTGATTGCCCGCTGAAGTGGAGCGATCGCAGCGTTGAGGTCCTCTAGCCTTCCGCTACGATTGAAACGCGCCATCGTAGCTTTGCATAACGCGTGAAGCAAGTTCAGCTTGTCAGAGTCCACGTCAGGGATAACCCTGACTGCGATGTGAAGTAATAGGACGCCATTCTCGAGATCATTCGCGAGAAAGAGGCGCCAATAAGACTTCAGATAATCGCGTCCAATGGTGCATAAGCGGGCGAGCCACATGTTTGAGCAGCGTAGGAAGAGTGAGGGGAGCAGTCTATGCGACGATTCTGATGCGCGACAAAGCCTAGGTCTCCAGGCGGCAGGACGGGGAGAGGGTGTCACGTCAGGACAGAACGAGAGAGCGCGACATATATGGAGATGGTGGTCTGGTTCGCCCGTCATCATGATGAAACATCAACAGCGCTGGGTAGTGTTCGACAGATGGAATGCTGTCAGGCCTTAGACCAGCTTGGAATCTTGATCCGCCACAAGAACCTAGGGCTATACCGATGCGGAAGGGTATACACCACGGCCACAGGGTTGAGTAACGGGAAGCGCAGAATATCCCGGTCTTTCCAGCATAAAAGGGCCGTTGTTGGGATTGAATCAGGACATTGGACAGCTTGTTATCGCCAAAGGACGTAGCGATGTCGTTTCTTGACAAGACTCCCGCGCGCATTAAGCGTTCCAGAACAACACAGTGGTAAGGCACGGGGTAAGCGTCACAGCATATATTGCCTGATCTTGCCTAATCAAGAGTTCGTCGCCGCTGACACGATATCTGTGTGGTGAAAGGAAGCCGCTCTGTCCACATGGTCAACTGGAGTCCTGAACGTTTGGGGATTAGGTTACGCCGAGATGTTCGATGGAGACAAAAGTACAACATTGCTCTCACAGGGAAGATCCCAACAGGCTTCGTAGCCTCCGCCAATTCCTGCCGTTCTTGGAGCCTATACAAGGGAAGAGTAAGCAGGGATGAGTTCCACGGCAGCGACCCGACACCGAGGACGAGCGTACCATCCCGTCAGCTGAAGTCAACTAAAGTCTCCCGCAAGTCATCTCATTCAGTCTTACAGCCGTATGTGAAGGCGCGAACAGTCTACCTCACAGACGACACAGACGAACGAAAACGGTGGCGATGATGATGGGGGCAGCTCGCGACGTGCGCCTGATCTCCATTCACACTGTCCGGCATCTCGGCAAATTAAAGCCACATGCATTTCATCTCTCGTCCTTCTAGCCTTTCACCCGGGCTGACTCGCGAAGTACAGTATATCCAGGTCTCAAGTATTGATGACACATATGAGTTAAGACGCGTAAATCAGAACAGATTGGAATGGTACAATACACAGCAAGCGCGACAATCTGTATAGCCCGTTGATAGTCCGTGTGCGCAACACCCTTCGGTACCGTTCGTCTAGGAAATATGCAACTCTGACCGACCTAGTTCGTCCCCAACTATACATAGTGGTCGAATGTTGACACATTATACAGGCTTCTCACCAAGCCCTACCCTCCTTGCCCTCGTATTCCTCCACCACCGCGCACCGACGCGACCCGCCAAGCCCACCGCAAGCGCGCCCGCGGCGGCCTCCGGCGCCGCATACCCCGCATACGCGCCGCGCGCGCATGCCACGAGCGCCGCAACGCTAAATGCGTGTGCTGAAGAGAGCGGCACTGGGCCAGGGATGCGTATCCTTTACAATAGGAAGTCAGCATTCGCGTTGCATACGATGGTGGGGTAAGGGAGACACCATACCTTGTAGCCTCAAATACACCACCTCTCCTTCTCCTTCCTGCCCACTCGACAGCCACAACAAAAGGCAACACGCCCCAAACCGCGTGATCGCCTCTGAATGCATCTCCAGCACCCGCCGTCATACCCTTCACACCTATCCTCGCCCACACCGCGAGGCCCGGTCCGGCGAAGGGAAACATGAGCGTGATCAGCAACAACAGGTGCTTATGCTCGGCCAATGCGTTTCGGGTTTGTCGTGCGGAGGAGATGGGCGCGTGTGGAGGATGGTCGAGAGGGATGTCATCGTCGCGCTCGGTCAGTGATAGACGCTCGTATTCGGGTGGGGTAGTGTCTGCGCCGCCGCGCGCGGCGAGATGGGCAGCGGCTAGGGCGGTCGTGTGTAGATGCCAGAGCCATGCACCGGTCAGGGCAGCTTGCCAGGGTACGATGGTGCCCACTGCGACGATGATAGCGACGATCGCCGCGCCTCGTTTGCGGATGTCTACACCATCTTCCTCATCCCTCTCCTTCTCTCCGTCCGCGCCCGACGTGCGCAACTTCGCGCGATAGAACAGCGTAGGCAGATACAGTTTGACCTCCAACAACGCATACACGACCGTTACTGCGCCCGTTGCGAGGAACAGCATCAGCGGCGCCAGAGGTGCGAGTGCACTCCGTCCCGAGTTCCCGAGGAGATACTCCGGCGCAAGGGCGAAGTGGGCGGCAATGTAGCTCACGAACATCAATATGGGGAGATGCCGGGTGACAAAGCGGTGTAACGTCTGTTTCGGAGCTGGGAGCGGTGCACCCGGAAGCGTCGAAGCGAGCGCGGATGAGGACGATGCTGACCAGTGCATGCCAAACAACCAGAGCGCGACGCCGAGCGTCCATGCCGGCAAGGCGGGCCAATACCGCGTCGCTGCGCGCCCAGCAGAAGCGCGCCAGTCGAGTGAGAGTGAAAGACCCTTCAGCTGGCATTTGCCCTCTGCGTGCGAACCAGTCGAGTAAATCGTGAATTGTGTTCCTTCAAACGCGCTCTCGTTGTTCTTGACAGGCGCAGCAGGGAGGTCAAAGAACGGAGCGCCCGCGTGGGAGTGTAAGAGGATCGGGCGATATGCGGGCGAGTGGGGGTCCGCGTGGATGAGGGGGTACCAGTGCGCTTCGGACGCGGAGGGTGAAGTGTATTCGAGGGTTGGCGGGATGCGTGCGGTGGCGCAGAGGGTGTAGTTGTCCCAGAGGGGAGTAGCCCGGTAGACCAGGAGCGAGGAAGGTGTCAGGCGTGGGAGTGTCACTTCGGTACGCATTGACGCCGGGTCGAGCCGAATAAGCGCTGGGCTGTGAAGGAGATCTGGACGTCGTGAGTATACGATATAGCATATGAAGAGAAAGAGACCGTAGACATACCGTGTACGCCGTAACTATAACTGATATGTGCGTCGTACGCCTCAGAGCTACCAGCAACGAGCCATCCTTTCCCGTCCGATCCATCGGTCTCGACAGCAATCCACAACGGCGCATCATCCTCCGGCATTGGCACGTCTGCCTCCCAGACTGTGATCTCGTCCTTCCATCCCTCCTTTCCGTATCTGACACCGGCCTCGCCCTTCCTCCCTTCGGACTTCTTCTCTTCCTTCCCTTCCTCCTCTGCGTCCTCTTCAAATGCCGCCTGGCCCTCCAACCTCGGGAAGCTGACGTTCGCATGAACATACGGGATACGACGTATCCGCTTCGCAGCGACAGGCCAGCACTCGTGTCCCTGAGGCTTATCACCGCTGACTTGTCTGCACGCATGCACTGAGCCGGTCAACTTGGTGTTCTTCTCCTCCGGACCAACACCTTGCGCATTGCCGCCACCGATGTACATGGTGAAGAGACTTCCAGGTTGGAAGGGCGCGGGCATCATGAAGATGCCATTCCAGGCGAAACTGCCTAGTGCGAGTTGGAGAGTCGGAGGGTAGAAGTCCTTGCTCTTCTTGTTCCGTTGGAAGTTCAACGCCTTGCCGGCCTTGTACGTCGCGGCGGCACGCGTGAAGCCGTCTGGTAATGCGTGCGACAGTGCGACGGCACGGTCGGCGGATGTGGCCAGTGGGGCTGTATTGAGGAGCGCGCGGGCGACCAGTCGGCGGACTTGGTCGCACCAGACGCTGACTTGGTGGCCCATGCCCGTCCATGCTCCCTCGAGTGCAGATGCAAATACCGTATGCCGGTACGCGTCGACGTTGTCCGAGGCAGGCGCGGGCAGCACGCATGCTTCGCTATGGACCATGCCATCCGTAGCACCGCCGCAGATGCTAACAATCGGCACAGGGCTATGTTCGAGCCCATCGCGTGCGGTGGCGTAGAACTTCGTGATGCGCCTGTCAAGACGTGCAGGTGGGAGTGTGTGAGGTGCCGATAGAGTGACTAGAGCTGAGATGGTGGCGTTGGTGGTATTGGGCGCCAGGAGAGAAGCGGCGACGACGCCTCCCATACTGTGTCCCATGAGAATTATAGGTGTATCCTTCGGGTATAATGAAGCGATGTAGTCCAATGCGCGGTTGGCGTAGGCCGCCTCGGCCTCGAGCGTAGGGCCGTGCAGCGCACTCAAGTCCTCGTTATGTTCGAGCGCGAAGAAGTCGAGTGGTCGAATATTCGCCATGCCTTTGGCGATTGTCCCAGGCTTCTCGTAGTAGGTGCGCGCAGCAGAAGAAGCGACCGAACGGATCTGGTGCGCGCTACCCGCGTTGCCGGGTATGAACAGCACTGGCAGCCCTTTGAGTGTATCGTCCTGCCATCCAGCCTCCCGATATAATACGAGAGAATATCTCCTCGCGAGCGGCGTCCAGGAAATGTCGAAAGCAGATTGAGGAAGATAATTCGGCGACATATAGCTCATGCCGCATCCCTGCGGACTCAGGCTCGTGGTGCTCTCCACGCCCGCGCGCCAGAAAGTCCAGAGGAGGATGACGGTCAGCAGGCCGAGGGCGTAGAGGGTGCGGTACATCCCGCCCAGGCCGAGAGCCATAGTCGTCGCCGTCAATAATCAAGAAAGAAAGAAGGAGAACACGTCGGCGTGCGGCCGTAGATGGTCTCCAGTCCCCGCGGTCGTCGTGGTCAGTTGTGTAGCACCTGCTTCAGCCTCCGCGCGGAGACGGTCCGGTCGTCATTTCTGGAATATGTCGCTTTGATCTCACACGTCTCGACCGGCGGCTGTCGTGTTTCTGGCGCACAAGATGCTGTTTCTGGGGTTCTTTTGCGGTGCTGCGCCGACGCTGCGTTGATGCGGTTCGTTTGATGAGGATGACGAGGGTCGGGTTGGTGTGGGAAGGAGCACGGTGGTATGGACGCGTGTAGGTCCACAATTCTTGTGTGGCGCGAAGGCTTGGCGGAGCGGGAAGACGCGACTTGACTCTGACCACCACCATCCGGGTTGCGACAAGGTTACAGGATCGTTACCTTCCGTCATGAACACTTCCCTCACAATTCTATGCTGGCCCGCTTACTTTTCATTGTTCAAGGGGGTCCAGACTTGAAACGACAAGCTGGACCCGTGCTTGATGAGCGTACGGGTAACGTTACGTTCGCAGCTGGCATCGTCGGTCCATGACTCGGCCATCCTCACGAACGTTCTCCCGTGCCACGTTTAGTGTACAGCGGATAGCGCAAACATCCCTGAACGTGAACGAGAGTCGACCTAGCGGGTCCGCCACAACTCGTGCACCCTCCTCTGACACGCTTCAGCGTCCCGCTCGCGGTTTGGGAGTGAATCCTCAAGGCGACCCTCGGACATACCGAGCCGATCCAACTACACAGCCACCACCACTTCAAGGGATGTGCTTCTGCGCCCATAACTGAGCGCCACAGGGTATATGAAATGAAGGCGTATATACGTCGTCGATCATGCGTCACGGCTCGCTGCCGGAATGTGTATCGACTTAGACGCCCAACAGCGCCGGACAGCGCCCTCAAATGTGTTGTACTCTGTCCTTACGTCTGTAGTCGCTGGTAGCTAACCATTGTGACCAGCTCAATAGCGTTCACCAACACTGTTTCACCAGTAAGTCGCTCAGCGCATGTTTCGCCGGCGACGGAGGCAGGAATGCAGTGGATTCCAGGCCGAAGCTGTGACTCTTAACCCCGTCTAGTCGATATAAAGCTGGTTGTCTCCAAGGAGGGATACACCAGCACCCGCTCCACTCAGCTATCTGCATCCTTACTTCCTTCGACAACTCGAATCCAACATGCTTTCTACCCGCTTTGCCCGCCTCCTCGCTTGCACCGCCGTGGTCCCGCTCGCAATGGCCGCAGGTGAGCTCAAATCCGTCGCGTACATGAATATTATCTGTGCTCATGACCGCACGGCTCAAATCACAGAGCCCATCGAGTTCAATGTCGACTACGAACTTTGGGGTTTTGCGCCCGTCGAATGCCAGGGCACGCCCGAGCAGACCGGCACGTTCATCACGAGTCATTGCTACGACCTAAGCGCCTACGCCGGAAAGTTCACGCTCGACGCTCCTCGTGAGTACGTTTCACTATATTCGCTAGCATCTGCTGACATGACACTCAGTTGATGACTGCACCCTGCACTTCTGGAACCAGACCGGATGTGTGGGCGGGGAGGGCACGCCGATCGCGCTTGATGGGGATCAGCAGACGAACTGCGTGTCGCTTGCTCTCGAGCCCTCGAACGCTCCGGGCGAGGGAAACCCGCCGACTGATCTTGCTCAGTCGGTCAAGGTCGAATGCCCCAACATCTCGAAGTGAAGTAGACCTGCGGCGATGCACTCGGGTCTGACATGAGTACTGCGTGTACTACATAGGTGATGATCGTTCAACAATGTTCCCGTCTACTTTTGACTCGCTATGTTGTACTTCTGGGGACCTAATACATACAACTGCAGCTCGATCGACCATGGAGAAGTCTTCGAGCATCGTTATAAATGAGGCTTCAGCGTCCCGCTCGGGGTTTGAAAGTGACTTCTTGGGCAATGCTCCGGCATCCTGTACCGATACAGCCAGACAGCTTCCAACGCACTCAGAGATATAGTCCCGCGCTACAGGTGAAAGCGACACAGGGTATGTACCTAGAATGAAGGCGCGCATCGATCACGCGTCAGAACTCGCTGCCGCACTCAAGAGCGCCGAACGACACCGACTGTCCTACCGTGTCCATATCTTCAAGCATGGTGTGTTCTCCGTCAACGTATCTGGTAGTTGGTGGCTGACCATTGTAATCAACTCGATAGAGTTCCCTGCCGTTGTTTCACTAGGTACCCGCTCAGCGTGTGTTGCGCATATGGCAGTCGCAGAATTGCAATGGCTTTCAGGCCCGCGCTGTCGTCGTTCACGGGCTCTGAGGCCGTATAAAGCCTGCGCTCTGAGAGCAGGTACTAGCCAGCATTCGCTTTACCCAGCGCTCTGCCTACTGTCCTCGAGGAACAGAGTACTCTAACATGTTCGCCAACCGCTTCGCTTATCTCATCGCATGCGTCGCTGTAGTCCCACTCGCCATGACCGCAGGTGGGCTAGTCCTATATCTTACATCTGTATCATCCGTACTCATAACTGCAAATTCCTAGTGACGGAGCCTATTGAGCTTAACGTCGACTACAAGCTCTACGGCTTCGCCCCCGTTGAATGCCAGAACACGCCCATCCAGACCGGCACGTTCATCACGAGTCACTGCCACAATCTGGGCATCAGGGCATACGACGGCAAGCTTAATGTACCCCGTATGTATATTCATCACCTTTTCACTCGAGTGAATTACATTATTCACCGGAACACTAGTTGATCGCTGCACGCTGCACTTCTGGAATCAAACGAACTGTCTAGGCGGGGAGGGCACGCCGATCCCGCTTCCTGGAGGTCAGGAGTCGAGCTGCGAGTCTCTCGCTCTTGAGGCTTCTCGGCTTCCGGGCGTTGGAAATCCGCCGACTGATCTTGCCCAGTCGGTGAAGGTTGAGTGCCCTAACATCTCGAAGTGAGGTAGACCGACGCCATTTGCTCGGGTCATGACCACGTAGATCGGATGGCCGTTGGGGTGTGCTTCATGCCTCATCGTACGATACTAGACGCATGTGGCTGTGACTTTACCATGTCTGATCGTAGGAGAGCGCCCTATGCATGTCATTGTAGGTGACCGCAGGGACCCTGAGGTTAGGGTTAGCCCCGCGCGAGCGATCCGGACGTTTATTAGACGCCCACGGTCTTCGTCAGCACGCGCAGCGGCAGCTTTCTCATCGCCGTCATTCATCAACTTGAGCTACTAGGGCTAGAGCGGGTATGATATAAAGACTATCAAAGCAGGGTTTGGCACTCTGGTCTTGCGTGCCTCGGAGCGATTGTCCTATGTCCGAGGACTTCTACGGCGAGCATTCGCGCGCTGGCCACAGAAAGGACGGTGGCAGTACATGCGTGTCCCGCAGGCCTTCGATGAGATATGGGCGGCGGCCTTGTGTTGTCGACTTCTGGGTGTCCCCTGCACGCGGTAGTGTACTCAGCCTCAAACCCGCTGACTCTCTTTCTCGAGACGTGACACCAGCATCTTATCATGTTACAGCGAAGTGCCGCTAAACCCGAGCCTATTGAGGACCACGAAAGCTTCTATTTAGGACACCAGTGACAGGTGGACAGCCCTGCACTACTAGGCATCGTTCTGAAGTTCCCAGACACAGGTTACGGCGAGACCTCGTAGTATGAAGCATGAGATGCAACGCGGCGGCGGCTCCGCGGCCGCATCGTAGGGTTCTTTCTACGTTTCAAGACAAGCCTCTGAGCACACTCGTACCTCGCTGAATACCGGAGAGTGTGGTTAAGTACGTTTGGGATCGCAGGCTACTCACACAGATACGGTCCATGCGGCTACCACTGGTCATTCAGCGCTCAACGCGGCGAGCGCTGATGGTAGCGCCGCAACGTGTGTGGTAAATGTTGCGAACTAGGATAGACGCGTTACAGGCGACGCTCTTCCATTCCCGTACGAGACTACTCGGTCCCCTAACATATACACATACTAGAAGCCCCAGAGCATTTGTAGAGTCTAACGTAGTTCTCGTGCATACATGAAGAAGTCGAACAGAGTTCAGGGAGTCACTGAAGCGCCAGCGCTGAGCAGCGTTCAACAGTCAATCATAACCTAGGATAGCAGAACGACGACTCGATCAAGCATCTTCGCGCCAGAAGTCGCAAGCCTATCTGCATCCAGCGTACTTTCCCCACACCGCGGGTGCTTTGGCACAGACATCGTCAATCGAAGAAGCAACAAGCTTTCCGCGTGGGAGTAACCAACGCTTTGCGCCACAAATATCCCGCATTTGATCTGCACAGCGACGTGCCCCGAAAACGCCGACTTGGCCGCGCGCGCGTCATTTCCCCGGCCAAGTTGGATCCCAACCACCACCTCCCCTTCTCGCGGCGCGAGCGAACCTCTGCGGCTTTATGCCGGTAATGGTGAATACCGTATCATGAATCATGTTGAAGAAGAGATAACTGAAGGACATGCCACACACAGGCTTGGCAGTCGCGACCGTCCTCCAGCGATCTCGACGCGGCCCAATACCGCGCGGGCGCGAAGCTTCCTGTTTTGCACCTCCCAGATCGCGCCGCGGCTGTCTCGCCAACTTCGCCGACATATCTTAGTTCTCCAACTAGCCAGCAGTCAGTGTCGCCGACCACACCGACGGCAACCTCCCCGGTTACCCCGTCGTCCGACTCGGGCCGGCGTTTGCTGTGCTGCTACGAATGTCGCCGGAAGAAGAAGGGAAACTGCGTGCGGACACCAGCCGGACCCTGCACGTAGGTGACCCTGCTTGCAAACAAAGTCTACAGTTCAGCTGACGCGTCTTTCGAATAGACGCTGTCTCGCAGGGCGCGACCCGTACGGGAACCCGCTCGTGTGCGAATACCCCACACGCTCTTACCAGGGTCAACGCACCGACTTGCGGCGAGTGACGGACCATTACCGCGACCCAAGCGCCAAAGACTCACTCCAGGTCAGAGAGTACTACCAGAGTGGCAACGTGCCAAGGACCAGCTGGGCTAGTACGGGTCCTCGGGCTGGCCCGCGAGCGGTGTCAAAGTCCAATAACGCTCACTCCAACTCGCACACGTATATGATACCGCCCGTCATCAGCCCGTTGGATACCGACTTCTCTGCGCAGCACCAATACGCGCTTTCGGCAGGTTCGGAAAACACGAGCCCGAGCCCTAGTCCTCAGAGTCTGCGGACAAAGGGAAAGAAACTGCTCTTTTCCGACTAGCGGCGTAGTCCGCACCTACTCCATCTGGCCCGCCACGAGCGCCCGTCACCCGCCGCTCGATCCTAACTTTGTTTTCTCGATGTCACCCCATAGCCCATCACGGCCACTTCGTCCCATTCTTGCATCTTACCATCTTGATCGTCAGCCCTTTCCCGTCATTGGACTCTATCCGTACCATCTTGTTACTTTGTTCTGGCATATCATCCATCATCCATCCATCCGTTGTCTGCGTCATCATCGTCTCACCATCTTGTTTCTTGCTGTGATATTACCTGCATTCGGCCCCGGTACTTACACCCGGTCCTGTTTGTCTCTCTCACCTAGTACTCTACTTTACCCTACTATCTCCCGAGGCCGTCGCGTGCGACTTGCTCTCTTGCTCTGGTGCTGCTCTATTACTGTACTCCATTCGTGTCGCTCGAATGTAATGATCTCTTGATGAATGTTAATCTTGCGCTTTGACAGGTCCTCTTTGTACACGCTGTGGGCGGCCTCGGGATCGGACCGAAGATATATATATTGCACACGGTGTCTAAGCCAAGACTTCTTATTGCCTATACGAACATCTGCTGGACTTCGCGGTAGTCCCATGTATACTCCCGTTTTACTATCCTTCTAGCACAACCGCAATTACCGAGGTCGCGCTCGTCAACGATCTCGAGCGTCAACTGCTCCTCCCTCCCAAGAATCACCTCGCAATGGCGCAACCAAACCTTCAGCGCATCGTTTCCTTTCAAATCCTTCGTGACAGTCTTAATCACAGCTGCTTGCTCTGCGCCCGTGCCCGGCACGTACACATGACAGGCACCCGGACCTCGTACGACCAGACGACTGAGAGGCATGCCCGCCATTTGGCGCGCAAGGAGAGCCGACTCCAGGTTAGACCACCATGCCCCCGAGGTGGGGAAGTTCACGGTGATAATGAGCTCGCGCAAAGCGGGGAAGATCCATCTGTTGTCTGGTGCATTTGGTCCTAGTAGAGTGTGGACATGAGTGCTGTTTTCTGAGCCGATCAAATAAAGTGTTTCCACGTTGCGGAAGCGAAGAAGGGCGGCGGTCAGTGCGTGGGGATCTTCTTGCTTCATGACGCCGCCGCATTGCTGCCACCGGCAGCCGCTGCACATGTCTGCGCATACGTGTTCAAGTGCGATCGTACGTATTGTTCGAGGAAATGAGATGGCTCCCAACACGAAGAGAAGCGCATTGCTATCGTGTTCGACGTCGTATTCAAGATGTACACCACGAGTGAATGGATGCTCGTCGAAGTCCATATCACAATATGGTGTCGTCTCCGTAAAGTACACGTCCAGAATTTCCTCGTCATGGTAAACGGCAAAGTCAACGATAGACAGGGCCTCCTTTGGCACGGCGCACTTGTCAAGGCGCGCGAGCAGGCCTGAAAGGGCGAGCTGAGATCTAACGGATCCTGTCTGGAGCTTGGAGCATAGAGGCGCGTTGATGTAATGAAGGAGTCGGCAGGCTTGCAAATCTGCATTCGAAAAAGTCAAGCTCGAAAGTTTGAGTAGGTCCACCGTCTTGGGGCCAAGGGTCCGGAGCTCTATGCGTCCCACCGTCTCAAGAGTTTCTTTGAGTGGGCCCCAAAGAGGATCGGCCTTGACATCATTGTAGAGGGACCCAATGGTCAATTCTTCCAAACTTTTCAATACACTGAGAGATTCAAGTAACATATTCACACGCCATACACATCCAGCAGCGTTGAGGATGGTCAGCGAGTGAGCGGTAATGGCCAGTGGCAAGTTGGTGCTGAGACTTCTCAGAGCTGGCATTTGGGCGAAGCTGGACTGGGCACTTCCCGGGTCCGTGAGCCGTGAGAAGATGACCGAGAGGTGTTCAAGGTAGGGAAAGGATCGATTGGAGAAGATGGTAGACCAATCGCGTTCGGGTTTTCGCGTGCCCATTTCGAATTCATTGTCGTTCAGATTTATGATGACTCGAGCCCGATCAACGGCATTTGCGAGGGCGTCCCAGACCTCACCCGGAGCTGTGTTTCGCGCGAAGTCGAGGGTGAGGGGGGTGGATTTGGCTCTCTGGCATATGGTCTCGAGACCGCGAGGGAACATGCAGACGATCCCGGCCCAGAGCACAGACATATCCAGTCCCACTATCCTCCACTGGTGATTGACGTGTGTCAAAACAATCCAGCCGAGTGCCCCAGGTTCAGCGCGCCAATCGACTCCTCTGAGTCGGGACAGGCGAGGAGGATGAAGCTGGGCGAGAACGTAGTATATCTCGCTGATGATATCGTCGGGCAATAGCACGCGCTTATTCTGAGAGTTCTCAGCGGCGATGGCTGTTTCGGATTCCATCTTGCGGGACGCGTAAAGGTAGGATATTTGAAATAAAGACGCCAAGACGATTGAAAAAGAAAGAAACTGGGCCTCACGGCCATGGAAGTACGACGCAGAGGATAGGGCCGCGACGACTCGGACGAGATTGCGCGCCGTTTGCCTCGTGGCCCCGTGAGAGAAACGCGGTCACCTGAACACGAGGCGCGTCGCATCAATCAAGTCCAACCACCCATCGAGTCTGTCTTCAACCACCATCTCAGTCGTGTTTCCCAAGCTACACGAGGCCTTCGCGCAGTCTATCTCAACCACATTACTGGGGTATATGAAGTTCCCTGCGAAATGTAAGTATCGTCATCTCCTCTCCCACCTTCCACCCATGCCGCCACGCAAGACGTCGACGAGTGCTCATGCCCGCCCCCACTTCCGTTCTATGCGCAGCCTACCCATCGTAGCAAAGTCGACACCCCTTCGTAAGAAGCAACAGGGATTTTTGCCGGCTCGCAGCGATCGCAAGTTCATGCACGCTGAAGAAGTCTACAACAATTTGTCGAACGAGATGCGCGACCAGTTTCTAGGGCCCATGCCCATACGCGAGTTCTTCGAGACCTACCTGTCCTGCAAAGAAGTCTTTGACTTTGAGGATATTACTATATCTATCACGGCGCTGGATTTCCTGCCCGCATTTCGCCACCTGGTGGAACAGAAGATTGTGCGTGATCCTCTTTCCTTGCCGTGAATCTACGATATTTACTGACACTTTTCGCAGTGCAAGGCAATTAACGACTCTGGAGTCTGTCGGAATATCCACTTTGTTGACACTCATCAACGAGTACTTCGCGTGTCGGAGAATCTCGCCGAGGGTGAGGGCGCCGATCGCAAAATCGACATCAGCGGGATACGCCATTCTTCAGAACGCCCGGAGGATATCGTGCCGTCCTTCACCAATCTCGCCGTCGCTATGGAGCTCAAGCCCGAAGGAGATGACGTCGTCGTCGATCCGAAGGGGCTTACCCCAGAGGAACGAGCGGAGGAGGGGTTCGAACACCAGATCGACGCAGCTGTTGCCGCGCGCGGCCAAATCTCGTCGTATGCGTTGCACCAGTTTCAACACCAGGACTGCACGCATGTCATCTCCGTTGTCCTCTTTGAAACGGAGGCGCGGCTTCTTCGCTTCGACCACAGCGGTGTGGTCGTCACCGAGCGTTTCGACTACACGAAAGGCAGCATCTTCACTGAGTTCTTATGGCGTCTCGACCGTGCTCTCGGAGCGAAAGTTGACGTGGACTCGTCCGTCACGTCGCTTACGGAAGCAGATATCACCGTGCTGGAGGCCGCGCGCGCGGCATTCGAGGCTGAGAAGGAGTTCCTGCCCTACCCCGTCACATCAGACATGCCTCTGCGTAGGGTATCCGTCTGGGACGACTCGTCACAGTCGTCACCGGACGTCGTGCCGCCGTCTCACGAGTTCATCGCAGCGCCAGCTCAACATCATTCATTCTCCCCGATCGGTCGCTACACCCTCAGCTACCCCGCGTTCGATCCGGAGACAAAGTTGGTGGTTTGGATCAAGGACGCGTGGCGCATCAATGAAGAAGGATTCGAAAAAGAGGGCGAGACGTATGCGAAGCTCGCAAAACTGGGTATGAAAGGTCGCGTACCGGAGGTTCTATGCGGTGGCGACGTTCGCGACCATGACGGGCAGATCCAGGTGACACGCTCCCAAGACTGCAAGGGCAAGTCATGGGCTGCACTGTCACACAACGTACACCGCTATGTGCACTACCGCATCGTCTTCAAAACGATTGGGCGTCCGTTGACGGCCTTTACGAGCACAAAGCAGCTCGTTCAAGTTTTAGCGGACGCATTGGATGGTGAGTTGCCTACCAGTAATACGATGTGTTTACGGCTAATGCTCATGTCTTAGCTCACGCTCGGGCGTTCAAGCTTGGCCGCATTCTACATCGCGACATCAGCTTGAACAACATCTTGATTGGTTCTTGATTGGTAAAGACGGTCGTGGCCTTCTGATCGACTGGGACATGTGCAAGTACCTCGACAATGCTGAGCCACGCATTCCCTGGCGAACTGTAAGTCATCGTACATCTACATGTATATATCATTACTCAATGCGCCAACAGGGCACTTGGCAGTTCATCTCCGCGGACCTTCTTCGCAAGCCGACGATGAAGACACACGCCCTTCGCGATGATCTTGAGTCGTTCTTGTGGTTACTACTCTATATTGTCAGTATCTCCCAACATGCCTCCTGTGGTGATGTTTTCTGACTATCTGCCAGATCCTGCGCTATCATTACCGGTTACCGAACTTGGCAGATCGCTCCGGTGCCAGTGCCGATACTGGTGGTACGCCACCACTACCGGAGGGCGTCACGATGGACGACGACGACGATGACATCTACTCGCTGCCTGAACCACCTCGCCCACTCGGAGAACAACAGCCTGTCTCACGCATGACCTACATGGACTGGTCGGCACTTCAAGCTTACGTTCACTTCCTATTCGACAACTCCGTCGTAGAGGGAGAGGAGATCCCGATCGGAGGCCAGCGAAAGGTAGACTTCTTCTTCGAGTCTGCCACGCACCCAGACGACGAGCAGATCGCGTGCGCCATCGACGACGCTTCTCGCAAGATCCCCGCTCCGCTTGCGAAGCTGATCTCGAGACTCCGCGCTTTGTTCAGGCCTATATATAAGGCTCAGGACCCATCGGCATACGAGCAAGAAAAACTTTCTTCGGCGTACTTCGTCGCGCTATACTTCAAGGAGGCGCTTCAGAGCCGGGGTTGGCACGCTGACGACGCGGCTGAGACCGACCACTTCGTGTTCGAGAACCCAACACGCCAGACGTCGAGCCGAGCTTCGAAGCCTCGCAAAGCACCTTCTAAGCCTAGCACGTCGCCCAGTGGCCAGAAGCGCAAACTGGATGCTGTGCTTGAGGAAGACGAGCTCGAGGATGACCAGGAGCCTGAATCGCTGAAGAAGCGCTCGAGGCGTTCAAGCCGCTTGACCTCGTCGGACTTCGCTCGCAAGCCACCGACTAATCGGGTCACGACTGCGCCACAAGCTCTCGATATCCACGGCCGCGAGCGCTAGACTGTTTACCGCTGAGATGTTCTTTGTCTGTGTATGTACAGTAGAATTGCGTACGCAGATCCCGGCGTGTTACGATACTGTATCCAGAGACCTCCTTTGTATGAATAGCTTATTTGCCTTTTTTCCACAATGCATATATACATGATGTAATGCGTATGTAAGCCAGATAGTGGCCATGTTGCCAGTCTGCGGTCACAAGCGTCGGATAAGAAGTGGAAGCCGTACACCTTCGCTTTCTTTCCCGCGGACCTTGGGCTTGACGGTGTTACCCCCAAGATGGTAGAAGTCGATGTCAAACTCCGCCTCAGAGGGAAGGAAGCTGAAGTTACGAATCAGAGTCGAACTAACGATCTGGTAATCACGTCAATAGCTCCCCCTGCTCGAGGTAACCGTTTCACGCACCTTCAACTCGGCCATCGCTAGAATGAGTGGAGAGGCTGTTAGCACGAAAGGCCGATACAATAAGATGCGATGCTCACCGAAGTGTCGGCCAACGCATGCTTTCGTCCTGTAGGTATGATGTCATAGTTAGTCGTAGCTGGATGGAATATGCACTATTCCCGGAAACGCACCCTTCACCAAAAGTTAGCACGCCTCCCGGTCCGATTCCATGCTCAACAGTATCGTTCTCCAGCCATCTCTCGGGTCTGAACTGATCAGCATCCTCGCCCCATATGGTGGTGTCAACGTTGAGCCCGTCTCGAACAGGTATGGACACTATTTGGCCCTTCCGAACGTGTAGAACGGGTTCATTCATTCCTCGGAGAGGTTGGGAGAGGGGAATGACGTCATCGACATTTGCCTTCAATGATCACCGTCAGCTATAATTGCTGCGATGAGGAGTAACAGACCAATACTTCACGCGTGATCTCCATCAGTACGGCTTTGCATCGCAGGACCTCCATGATCACGGCGTTGAAGTATTCCAGTCCGTTCTTGCTCGACGCGAAGAGATCCGAGTAGCTTGGGGGACCACTATTGCGAGCTTCGAATGCAGTAAGTTCTTCTCGAACCTTGGATTGAACGGCAGGTTGATGCGCAAGTTCGTAAAGAAACTCCTACATCAAAGTCATTTAGCATTCCCAGATAACAGGACGCGTGATAAGCATCTACCCCCATAACATTCGCGACGGTTTCCGATCCAGCAAACAGAAGACCGACAATCTGCACAGCATCGTGAGCGCGTTGGGCTGAGATGAATGGGAGAGGTCTAGGGTACTTCTGCCACCGCATCGTCTTTGGAGACGTAGTCTCCATTCTTGTTCGCCTGGCCTGTCATAAGTCATGAACGCTGTTGCATTGCCTGTGAGAACCCGGGATCTCACTGAGGACTTCAAGTGCGCGAGCGTCCATTCCTTCCAGCGTCTCGATCTCTTCTGCTGAATCCCACACAGCTTCGGCGATCTTTCTAAGTTCCGTGCGGAGCATAGTCGCCCACGACTTCATGGGATTGGGAAGGCCCATCAGCTGCGGAAAGGTGCTAACGATAACCGCGGCCGTGCGCGCTAATGTTGTATCAGGACCAGTTGGTCCCTCGGAGATGTTCTTGAGTAGAGATGGTATAGAGCCCGTTGAGTCGCTGAGGTCATACGCGAACATTGTCCTTGAGATGGCATTTAGGCTAGACACGGTATGTATCAGAGTTGTTACGCATGTAGATCAAAGCACTCACGCAAAGCGGTGAAGAGCTTCGGCCACATTCACCACTAGTGATTCGTCGGGACCAAGTTTGTCGTCCCAATCGCTCACGAGCTAGTGCATCCTGTGAGCGGCGTAACGAGTGAGGCAGGCCCGTCTAAAAATACTCACAGAGTGTGTGAGATCAGTTAATACACTCGATACTTGCTTGACGGATTGCGGTCTGCGCGGCCAGGTGTCAGGTACTGTATCCCGAAGTTCATGACATAGACGCACGTAAAGGCTGGGTTCAGCTTGCGCCGTCTTTGGGCGTGTACATCAGCTATATGTGGGCGTCAGAAAGTGCTGATAGAGTTGGCGTCTGACGCGAGTGGTGTACCTTCGGTGGATAAGACGCTGGGACCAAACTGTAGGGCTGGTGTTAGGACGGAGGAGTATCAAGGTCTTTCGAGTACGCACCCATAATGCCAGAATGACTCGGTCAATCGCAGGACGCCAGTAGATTGTAGACTTGTTGAGAACGTGTAGTGCACCCTTTGGATCCCCCATGACAAGAATAGGCTCCTGAGAACGGCCATTAGATGTTAACATGTATCAATTATAAGTTATGACGCACCATGAGCAGTTCGCGAAGCGTGTAGACAGGACCGTATATTTTGCGCCAAACGTTGTATCGCGTTCCGACGGGTGCCTTCTTGAGATCGAACAGATTGCCCCAGACATAGCTGACGGTTGGGGGACCAGGGAGGAAAGAAAGGGCGGAAACGTGCTTGAAGCGCTTACAGAGCTTGTAAGCTGTCCAAAGTCCCAACAGCTTGACGAAGCTCGAAATCGTTGGTGTCCAGTCCATCGGGGAGAAGGTGTCGGCGAATGGTTTGGCGTTGGAAGACATACGAGGAACGTTGGCAGTATATATAGACGAGGCGAGCTAGACGATCATCGGCAGCCTGGCATCCTGCGCCCGTCACTGATACGGCGGCAGTTCATAGGCGCCCGACTTCAGTTCTAAAGGAAACATTATCCACTCAGCCTGACGAGGGTAGATAGCTCCTTCTGTTCATGCGCTTTACTCCGACGTAGAGCGCCGGGCTGCTGCTGAAAGGCCTTGCTGGGGGGATCTGATAAGCACGCTATAGATTGGGGCTCTGAGCGCTCAAAGATGATATGGGTGAACGCCGTGAGGAAGACCATGGCAGGTAGGGGACAACAGGATGCGTGCGAACGCGCTGAACCGACCGCCGCGGCGCGAACTGGCGCGAACGTTGTCCCGCGCGTCCATCTCGACCGCGCTCACGCTCACGCTATAACTACATATCACAACACCCTATTTAGCTCATCATGAAGACATCCTTCTGTGATGTATCCGAAACGCCGAAAACGCCATCGCTACCCGATTGAGTTGCACTTATGGCCGGTGTGCAGTCCGGTACCAACTTCCCACCCAGTCTCTCGCTCAAACGGCTTCTTATCCCATTTGGTTTGTCGCCGACGACAGCCAGCGGTCATCCCCTGGAAATATGCTCACGTAAGATGTCCTGCGCTCAGTGTCCGACATCTATGGGCCACTTCGACGACTATACACGCTTCTCCGTCGCTGGGCCTTCAGCCTGAATCTACCCCACACCCTCGTCTTACCCTCATACGACATCGCATATTGTGCTACCATGGGAAACCATGCCTCTGTCATTGCGCAAATGTTTCCTCCCCGACCAACTTGGAGCGTGGATGATATACCTGACCTCACAGGGAAGGTCATGATCGTAACAGGTTCGTGTCGACCGCACGTTGAATGACTATGTGAATGATTCACATCGCATTCAACTGCAGGTGGCAATACTGGTATCGGGAAAGAGACAGTGAAGGTGAACACTCACATCTGGACCAGGACGGAGTGCGTGCCTTCTGATGAAACTCGATCAGGCGCTCCTGGCCCATAACGCCAAGGTCTATATGGCGGCAAGAAGCTCAGAGAAAGCGCACTCTGCGATTGAAGACCTCAGGCAAGCGACAGGCAGGGAGGCGATCTTTCTTGCTCTGGACTTGTCCGATCTTGTGAGCGTGAAGCGGGCCGCTGAGGAGTATCTAGCGTAGGCCCCGTCTTCGTCTGCTCCGGCATAAGGTGTATTGAACATGTACCCAGCAAAGAATCTGTTCTGGACGTGCTCTTCAACAACGCGTGCGTCTCTACGTACAACCTTTAGCCGTCTACTGACCGAACTCGCAGTGCGGTCATGGCTTGCCCTATCGACGACCTCACAAAGCAAGGCATAGACATGACGCTCGGCACCAATGTTTTGGGTGCGTGCTGTATCGACGGTCCCAGGGAGTGAAGCTGAACAAGGCTACCTCATAGGTCACTTCTACTTCACCCAATTATTGATGCCAGCCCTTCTCGCGGTGAATACCAATGTTAACCGCGAGAAGGCGCGCATTGTCATCACGTCGGCGTCCGGCAACTATCTTACCACTCTGGATATGGACTGTTTTCAAGATAGCCCCAAACGACGATCTAAGGATACTATGGAGTTGTACCTTCAGAGCAAACACGTACGCCCCGTCCAAGATATGGCGTCTGGACCTATCAAGTAACAGTCTGGATAGGCTAACGTCATTCATGCCCGTGAGCTTGCCCGACGTTATGGCGACAAAGTAGTCACTACTTCGTTGAACCCTGGTATGAAAACTGCATCTCGTTTTGACCCAATCTCCTCACTCTTCCCATTCAGGGAACCTACACACCGATCTGCAGCGGCATCTGGGTGGCATCCAGAAGTTCCTCATCGTGCGTCGTAACTGTCATTCTACAAGCATGACTCCCATCCTTCATACTTCAGTCAATGATCCTCTACCCTGCGCCGTACGGTGCCTTGACGCAGCTCTACGCTGGTACTGCTCCAGGGGCGGCCGATCTGAACGGCAAAGTGAGTCCTCGGGCTGATTCCTCATCATGAGACTGATATTTCGGATAGTTTCTCATACCATGGGCCCGTGTGGGTGCGGCGAGGAAGGAAACAGGGGATCCGGAGATTGGATCGAAACTCTGGGAATGGATGGAAGAGCGTTACAAGGGAATATGACGAACGAACGCCGCTCTCCCCTCCATGAAAAAAATCTGAGTCTTTGATGAGACGGATATCAATACGAGCCTCTTGCACGGCAAGATCTCAGTCCCTCTTGTTCGCGTTCTAGCGTGTCAGGGAAGATCGTACCGTTCGAAATATACTATATGTACGCTTAATTGTGATGTGTGCACTTCTTCATTCCTGTATCGGTAGAATCACCAGTGTCCAATAATCGAACAAGAAGGTCTCCAAGGCTTCGAGCTTCCAAGCTCGAGCTTCCCGAAACGGGGTGTATGTGAGCCTCGTGGCGTGCTCGTGCGCTGCGCATGGAAGCGTGTCCGGTTGTCCGGCTTACCCGGATCGCGCTTGTCGGGTTGTCGGGTTCCCAAGTCGTCTCGACGCGTCGCGACGCGTTTGGTTCTGCACCTACCATCATGTCCACCTCATCACCCAACGACAAGCCAACCGTCAATGGCGCGAGCGCGCCGCCCAAGGCAAACGGAGCGCCAGCTTCGATGAATGCAGATCTCGCTACACTACAGCGCGTGATTGAGCAAAGTGCGAACGTGCCAGACGATGCGACAGACGCGGGCATTGCGGGCCTACTGCGCGCCTTGGAACAGGCAGACGGCGTAGGGCGCGACGTCGAGGGTCGCTTGGACGCTATCTTGGCACAACTAGACGGGATGCTAGGCGCACTGGAGCCGGATAACGCCGTTCCTTCGGCAGAGACGTCCACTACAGCAAAGGACGATAACCAAGATAAACAAGAAACTAAATGATCGGGGCTTGGAATGGTACATATCCAGTATACCTTACGCTGACGTTCTCTCTGACGATGTGCGCAGTGGTTATTTGAGACCTCGGGCGCAGATGTACCCTGAATGAAGTGTCGTTGACACTTCTTCGGCCCGTCCGCCTGACGGGTTGTAGGCTATAGTCATCAGCGCATCAGCCGCGGACGCCGCGCGTGCAGTTTTGACGAGCTGTGTATTCGATGAACAGTTCGCGGCGTCTCGTGGCGAACGCGGGTGTTTTTGACGCCGAGATATCCGAGACTTTGTTCGAGTTGGGCCGGGGGCGTGTACTCGTACATAAACCTGGCACTTGGCATATACGAACGTTTTCGCGCTTTCTACGGGCTGTGCTAGCCGCGAATCAACGTCGATCAGCCTCAAGCTTTTTTGTTCTCTTTCCGATGACGGTGGGCGCTTCCGGACCTGTGAGACCATCAGGGACCGCGGATCCCGCGCGTTCATCGTCTTTTGCTTCGCGCATCCATGACCTGGGCGGCATGGCCCCCCATGTCAACCTCGCAGCATACTACAAGCTCGAAGGCGGAGGTGCGTTAGCGATGCTCTGGAAGCAGTCCGATTATCTGACTAGAGCGGCGCTAGTCAACACGCTACCGACTCCGCCCATGACCATGTCGTCATATGACGACCCAACCAGGTCCCCCAGGTGTGTACGCCTACTTGCCTTATGAGTGCTCAGTAGCCTGACTGGATGGTCGTACGGATCTGCGTTTAGGAATAGCATTGAGCGAAAACGTGGGGTATTTCGCCTATCCGCGCTTTCTTCCATCGAGCGGTCCGTCTGGGAAGACTCACCACGTTCATCACTACAATCCTTCACAGTCGCACGACCCAACCGACGAAGCGGCGAACCCATATCCTGGCTCCCTCCAGAACTGCTATGCGCCATCTTCGAGTTGGTTGCTGTGGTTGATCCACCACTCGCACCCGGTGGTGCGCTCGGCCAAATCGGCACTCTCGGCTGGATTTCCTTGGGACACGTATGCCGGTACTGGAGAGATGTGCTGCTCAACTTGCCGTCCCTCTGGGCTGGCTCGGTCGGCGTGTTAGCGAGAGCGGCGGAAACCATGCTTGAGCGCGCCACTGATGCTCCCATCACGCTTTCGTTGGATGATTCCTCCAACGACTGCAGCTTCCACGCGCGGCACATCGCGCGGGCGCAAACGATCAATATCAACGTCTCTTCTTCCAGCATTCTATACGACATGCGCGTCGCCTTGGGCGCACAAGACCTACCCGCTTTGGAAACCTTGTCCATGATACACGCTTTTGGACATATACCCCCACACAACTTTGATCTCCCGCCCTTCATCGCGCCCAGACTTAAGCGCGTCCACATGGAAAACTACTTCGTTCCCTGGACAGCAGCATCGCTCTCTCATCTCACCCTCGTACGCACGCGGCCGTTGCGTGAAGGAGAAGCACGGCCGACGTTGCAAGAAGTCCTCGACCTTCTACGCAACTCTAATACTTTACGACATCTCACCATCCACAACTGGGTCCCGGAGCTCATACGATCAACCAGTGCCGTCGACGAACCCGCTCGCGTCACCCTTCCCTTCCTCGAGCGTCTCGAGATACGCGACCGAACAGGGCCGTTGGTCGCTCTCTGGAAGTCGCTCCATGTATCATCACATACGCGTGTGCAGCTCTGCGCCGATCTTCTCGGCATGCCGCCCGAAGGCATTGCCGGCGTTCCCAATGCCATCTTCCGTGTTCTGGGTCCACATTACCGATCTCCGCATGCCCCACCGCTCACGCATGTCTCATTCTCCGACTGCCGCGGCGACAGCTTCCTCCGTGTACGCGCCTCCGCTGCTGGAGATGCGCCCGAATCGCCACGCTTGAGCGTCGACCTCTGGCCATGGCGACCGCAGAGCGCAGTGGACTTCCAGAACGCACTCGCAGCTTTCTCGTTGCACCTCGCGCTGGCGGATGTCGAGACGCTCCTACTCGACTGCCCAGCGGCCGATCACGACGGGGACGATATAGACGGCCACGGCTGGCGCGAGCCGCTCGCGCCCATGCGACATCTTCGCACACTCGAAGTACACGACTCCCCGCCTGCATCGCTTTTGCGCGCTTTGGGACCCGAACGTGATGCTCATGGAGAGCTACTATTCCCGAACTTGCGCGCGCTCGCGCTTCGGCCGTGTGCGCACCGCCGACGGGACGAAGCGCGCACGCTCCCCTGGATGTGCCTGTACAACTCGCTCAGAGTTCGGGCAGCACGCAGCACTGCGCTTCGGCGTCTGGAGTTGAACGGATACTTCAGACTCGACCCACCTGCGAGGACTAGGTTGTTTCAGGATGAGCTGGATAAGGTCGTAGTGGAGGTTGAGTGGGAGCTTTGAGATGCCGCGGTATCTGACAATGGACTGTGTATATGTACTGCCTTGTCTTGCGTTGAGCCTGTTGTTGTACTTTACACCTGACGTGACGTCTGTCTTGAATATGCTGTGCGCTGCTATGTAGTCTGTATATACCCTTTTCAGCGAAGATTCACAATGGCACTTCGAATGAGCCTTCGGAAACTCCCGACGCGACTGCCTGGGCCGTCGAGCGATGCTCAACCTCGTCCTTCAACCACCACGACGGAAACTCGATGGACATTAACGCCTCTACTGCCCGCGACCTGCCGTCCACGTTGCCTGACGAACTATTGGCGGAGATATTCGTCCATCTGCATAGTTGTCGCCTCACGGACGGCGAACGAGAGGGCCTCGCATATCTCCCCGTCCCTCCATGGGCCGTAGTCTCGCATGTCAGTTCTCGCTGGCGCCATATCTCTCTCAAGTGCAAAAAGGTATGGCCAAGTGTAATTACCAGGAATGAATTCAAAGACTCATACGCTACAGCTCTGGAGCTTCATCGTCGATGGTGATCGTCGTTGGACCGAGGCCTCAGTCAAACGCTCTGACCCCCTTCCCATCACCATGCGCGCGGAAATCTACCCTCAAACCCCACACGACTCCATCGTCGCCCTCGTTGATTTGGTTCCGCCTGCGAGACTGGCTAGCGCCCAGCTCTGGGTCAATGGGTCATGTCCTACCGACGAGGAGACGGAGCCGTACACGTTCTGGCTCCTCAAGCTCACCCAAACGCCGACACCTCTACTCACATACTTTGAGATCGCTGTGTCGTATGGGAACGCAGGTGGCCCCAGCGACGGCTCAACAGATATTCATCTTTGTCTACCCTGGAAGTATCTGGGGAAACACGAGCAGAGTCCGTTGAGATCAATTGTACTCTCGGAGTGCATTTTCATGACGCTGTTCTCCTTCAATGGATCTACAAATCTGACTTCCTTCAAGTTATTCCGATGCATCTATGCACTGGACGATAACGATGACATTCTGGGTCACGACCTTATCCTCGGCGCCCTGTCAGCGTCGCCCAACCTTGAGGAGCTCGTTCTGTCATCGTCCATTTCACCAAGGGGCCCTATTCTTGGGAGCTCCTTCGATAAACATGGCATCAAACTTCCCTGTCTCCGCATCCTTGTGCTCAGCGACTTTCTACCAATGGCTCTCGACTTTCTGTCATATATCTCCATCCCATCATCCGCGACAACTTCCCTCACCCTTGTCTGGGACGAATTAGAGGCAACACCAGAGGTGCAATTTGCAACACTGCAGGGATTCAATCTGGAACGATTCCTCCTGAACCCTATGCCTTCCTCACATTGTGAACTGCACATCTTAAAAAGCAGATTTGATGGTCCCTCCTCTGGCACTCAAGGCGTGGATATATCGCTCGGCAACGGCATCAAGCCGCACACCGCGCAAGAGACCTCCTTCACTATCCAAATTACGCAAGAGTCGACTACAATCCCACCATCGGGCCCATTCCTTGACGCAGTGTTGAATTTATTCTCCTCACGATCGACCCCCGTTCATACACTGGTCATAGCGGTGCCTATCGCGTACTTTGATTGCGTTCGCATCGGGGAAACATGGAACAAAATCGAACAGGTGACGGTAGAGGGCACCGCCGCGGCCTTAGCCTTCTTCGACGCCTGGCACCGCGACGCACCCCACTTGCTGCCGAATGTGACCACTCTGACGATTAGTCGCGTCGACCTTACGGGCGGTGCTCTGTTCGAAAAGCTCGTCTTGGCGATCACGCGGCGGCAGCTCACAACGTTTTCATGCGCCAGACTCGCGCATGTCATTCTCGATACACCGCTTGTCTCCGCGCGGACCATCGAGGTCCTCACAAGAATACTCACGATTGAGAAGCCGCATGCTGTTTGTGTACGACGCGACACGTATGATGCGGATGTGGAAGCGCTACGGCACGGGCGCCCGCGAGTAACAGTCTAATCGGAGCAAGGCTAAATCACCGAAAGTCGGCGATCCTGGAAGGGGCGTAGTACATTTTCTGTGTAGTTATTCTTTGCATTTGTCCCATATCGCTACTCACAGCACGTTATCTTGAAACGTATCGATGAATGGGAGGAAAGAACAGAGGTCGGGCAATGCCGACGGCATCGGCGATGTGAGTTGCGAGTGGATTCGGAGCATTGCTTTCGCTTCCGACCACCATGATCGCCCGAGCGTGGACGTATGATCCTGAATTGTAAACACATCGCACAGCTTCTACAGCAGCCACCGATGCTTACTTGTGCTCGATTCCTTCGAATCATAGCCTGGATAGCGGGCTATCGGTATCTTCGGTCAATCAAAGGCCTGTAGCTGCAGCCGCATGGACATCAGTCACTGCGCCGACGACATATCGGAATCCATTCATCAAGCACCAGTTATATTCTGTATACATGCCAAACTATCACGCACCAAAAATGCTGATTAGTACTACCTCTGCGTTCGAGGCTACTCCTATTGGTGCCACCCAGCCTCGTGTGGCACCCTCGTGCGAACAAAGGAACACTTGGCCGCGCTCAGCTTCATAAAGACTTGACCGCCAGAGGCGCCTTTCACCCTTTCACCCACCATGCCTCTCCGCTTAGCACTTGATCATACTCGAACTCCTTCTCGGGCTGATATTGACTTCATCTCCAGCCATCCGGGCTGTGTGGAGAGGTTGCAGCAGTTCGTGAGCATCAATGACTTGGATAGCGTCGAGGATCCTTCGCCCGAATTCTACACGGACCTGGCAAGCCTATTACTTGCATATAACGTGCCAGGTACTCGAACAATAGAAGAGGCTGAGAGGGAGGTATGTGCACGTTGGAGCTCGAAGCCAAAGGCATCGGCGATGGGGTCCGAGTGTCAAGCTACACTACTAGTCCACGAAGTGCGTCTTTCATATATATGCGCTCGCTCAAAGCATGTATGAGTCCTCATCAGATGATCAAACAGATTGGTGACGAAGACATGCGATTGTCTAACACTGCACTCGGCTACGATATGCCTTCGTACTCCCTTCCAGAATCAACCTCTCCCGTTCGAACGCCCCATCGACGATCCCAAACCGTGAGGATGCCTGCAGCCCGAGCATCCAACTGGAACTGAATGAAGCCCCGTATAGACGCACATCTCTGGGTACTTCTCTACCTCGCAGAGCACGTTGGACTATCCTACGCCTTCACCTCCTGTGTCAAACGCGAATCGGTCGCAACCCTCTCGAGCGTCTGATTGTCATACTCCATCCTCACGCGCTGGTGATGGCCGACTGGACCACTGCTCTTTGCCCTTCAAGTGAGTCGTTCAGATCGCATATAGGATATTGGCTAAGCGTACGCACAGCTATTCAGCAGTCGCCCCGCTCAGCCCAACGCGACCCTCACCTGCACCTTCCAGAGCGTTAGCCATCTCGCAACAGACGCAGGCATCGCAGTTCTGGACCTATCCAACATCATTCCAATGCCAGCCTTCGCCACGCAAGCCGTCCGCGTCCTCACTTGTCGACCGCTGGGCCGCCCGATTCGGCTCGTGCGCACTGCCACTCGACCCCCTGCCGCAGCGTCTGTCCGCAACACGCAAAGAGCTCATCGCAGCCACAGGCATTCCGCCAGTCCGCCATTTTTGTACCGCCGCGCGCGAGCGTCTGCCACCCGGCGTATGTGCCGACATAGCCTTCATCGATGCCAAGAGTACACCGGTACCAATCGGACAACGACCTGGAGAGCCAGTCTTTGTGATTAGCTACATCGGACCTCTTGGGAGGACTGGATGGTCGCCTGTCGTTCAGGTCTTTAGCCGCTCATATGCAGAGGCAGAGTATGTATATATGGGAAGGTACACCTTTCGTTGGACAACCGTAGTCGATGCGCGGCTGCCAGCCGAGGAGTGGGCTGCGCTACCAAAGGAGGTGAGGAACATGCTGACGCTTCTTGTACGCTGACTGACTCACCAACGTCTGCTGCAGATGAAGCGCAATATGCTACGGCATATCATCTATGCTCGAGATGATCACGCGAAGAAGCTTACGGCGCGCACGTATCTACGAGCGAGAAAGCTAGCCGTCGACCCGCCAGCTGTGCGAGCGCTCGTACAACGCGACCGGAGCCGCACTGACCGCCTGGCAAGAGCTGGCGAATGTTCGGGTGCGCGCGATATCAAGGAGGCGCTTGATGCAGGGACGGAGGTGAGCTACACACGCCCCTCCAGCTAAGGCGTGTGAGAAGCGAGCACTGATTGTTGTCAACCACGTAGAAACTGTACCTGTACTCGCTGCAGTGCGATGCTTATGATGAGGTCTTTGCCTTCGCCCTGCGTAACTTGCTGCAGGCATGACGATGGCTAGTGACGCTGAACGCGCATGGGCTATAGAGCAATGAGTGAACGCTGTACATTACCTGTACGATCTCTGGGATGTAACACTGGACAGCACACGAGAAAAGCAATACATGGAGACTGATATGAGTTAGCATTACGTATCCAGATGTACAAACGGGCCAAATGTCCAGTTAGACAATTAGAACTTGTAAACCTGGTCCTCGGTGTAGCCGAGCTCCTTGAGAATACCTCCAACGGAACCCTGCTTCATACCGTCCTTCTTACCAGCGATCGCCGCAACCTGACCAGGAGGACCTACACACGGACATCAATACACCTTCAATGAGCGCTACACTAGCTCGGATACACACCGCAGACGAAGACCTTGATCTTCTCCTTCAGGTCCGCTGGCGGGACATACTGCTTGACGAGCTGAGAGTTGATGTACCCAGTCGGGCCAGTCCAGTTGCCGTCGGCCTTGTCGAGGACGTAGACAACCTTGAACTTGTCTGGGTGCTCCTTCGCGAGACCGTCAAGTTGCTCGCGCATAAGGATGTCCTTCTCCGCAACATTTGCGAAGACGAGGGTGAACTTGGTGTTGTTCTTCGGGTCCGAGAGAGCATGGGAGGCAACCTGCCATAGAGGCGTAATGCCAGAGCCACCACCGATGAGCGCGACTTCCTCAAACTCGTTCTCTGTGAAAGGTCACAGTTCGCACAGCTCCAGTGGACATGACACTATGATGGAGGGACATACGCTTGTACGGGTACTTGGGAATTGGGCCCTTGATGGAGAGGGTGTCTCCGGGCTTGAGACCTTCGTGGACATACTTGCTGGCTTTGCCCGTCTCGTACTTCTTAATAAGCAAGTGCAATTCGCCAGGGAGATCAGGTGGTGAAACGGGTGTATAGGGACGGATGACAGGCTTGCCCTTGTCGTCGACCAGGGCGTTGGGGTCGGTCGACTTTATGACCAGGCATGACGCGACGGGCAACAAGGAAGCTTCGCCGTCAGGAAGCTCAAATACAAACCTAAGATCGGTATAAGCATATGATACATACATAGCATGAATGGAAGCACGTACGTCGAGGTGTTGTCGTTATAAGGGATGACCTTCTTCAGCTTAAAGTCCTTGAACTCCTTCGGGTCGAGCGGGCTCTTCTCCTGCGCCTTCTTGAAGGCCTTGGGTACGTCGTCCGAGTACGCGCCTCCGAGAGCATAGTAGGCACCGAAGCCGGTAGCAGACGCGACGAGCGCGTATATAGGCAAGTTGCTGTTGCCTTTCGGCTTCGGTGCCTCTGTAGAGAAGCGACGAGCCTATGAACGCATGGAATGATTCAATTGACGTTCTTTGAAGTTGGCAACATATGGATCACCGTACAGCAATGCGCGCGACGTTATGGGAGATGCGGAAGAACGACATGGCGGTGGAGAGCAAGTTACCCGTCGGTCCCCGCGCTAATATATTGACTTGGTCAGCGAGCGCTGAAGTTTCGGAGTGTTCGGGATGGCGAGCTCGACCGCGTCGTCGACGTGCAGCCGAGTGGTGACGTCGCTCTGCTTAGCGCTTCGGGTCTACTCGGCAAACTCCGGAGAGTGGACTAATCAATAAACGGTTGACAGAGTCTGGCTGACAGGGGCACTTGGTTTGGAGGTCTCGGTCCTGGCCCGTGTTATCGGGCTCCAACGCACTCCTCCCTTTTTGGCATCCCCCAGTTTTCGCCTCCTGAGCGCGTATATTCCGATCCTACGATTGCTCTTCCCGCTCTGTGAGCATTTTGCGCTTCTCATGGGCCGGCGGACGGGTTTAGGGCGTCTTGATGAAGACGCGGACGTTGGGAATGACGTCGTCTTTCGCCCCACTGTGCCTTGCCGTCAAACCGAAAGAGTTCAGACCGTTTCTCGCTCATCCAACCTTGTCCCTTACCCTCACCATCTCCCGCTCGCCACATATCGCTTCTCGCTTCATTGTTCACCTCCTCGCGACTATCTTACGGATATCTGAACTGGGCGTTGTGTAGAGCATGTCTTTCGTCAAGCTTTCCATCTTCGGAACCTCCTTCGAGGTTCGTCATCTAACCGCGAAGTCGTACTCGTCAGAGCCTCATTAATACTACGTATAGGTTACGACAAGATATGTGGACCTCCAACCCGTAGGAATGGGTATGTTGTACCCGCTCGATGCGTTAGGGTGGCGAATTGATCTTGCGATCTCCAGGTGCCTTCGGTCTAGTATGGTAAGCGCCCTACTTCGGGATCGCCTGCCTTTCAGTCCTATCGCGGCTAGTTCCTATGTACGCGTGGTCGAGGTCGTGTATGGTCAAGGCGAAGGGCTCGGTGGTGCGCAGTAGGCGACTACGTGCTTCGCGACGAGGGCCCGGATGCAGTTCATCAACGCGCGACGCGCCCGTCGGAATGCAGAGGCCTCGACCACGCGTCCTTACCCTACTTTCGGTCTTGGACTTGCCGTCTGACGCATTTTTCCCCAGTTCGGCAAAAGACCAGCTGACCGGCGCGTCTGTGGCCGTAAAGAAGATCATGAAGCCGTTCAGCACACCGGTACTCTCAAAGCGGACATACCGCGAACTTAAACTGCTCAAGCATATTCAGCATGAGAACGTGAGTCGTCGTTTCACGAATCTCCGGCGTTTGCGCGGCGGAGTGCTTTCGAGATCTGATGCTGACTTCGTTTTCGCCAGATTATCAGCCTCAGCGACGTCTTCATCTCGCCTTTAGAGGATATGTACGTCCTCGGGATTCTTCCCATGAGACTCAGCACTTATCATGACGTACAGCTACTTCGTCACCGAACTACTTGGTACCGATCTGCACCGTTTGCTTACATCACGACCTTTGGAGAAGCAGTTCATCCAGTACTTCTTGTACCAGATCTTGGTACGCTATCGCCTTGTTGCGAACATCGCGCACTCGCTCATGGGTTTCATAGCGCGGGTTGAAATATGTACATTCCGCCGGTGTCGTACATCGTGACCTCGTGAGTACACCAAATACGGCTTCATATCGCAAAGTACCGAATGTTCTACGCAGAAACCCAGCAATATCTTGGTGAACGAGAACTGCGACTTGAAGATCTGCGATTTCGGTCTGGCAAGGATACAGGATCCCCAGATGACGGGCTACGTGTCGACACGATACTACCGCGCACCGGAGATCATGCTCACCTGGCAAAAGTACGACGTCGCGGTGGACATCTGGAGTACGGGCTGCATCTTCGCCGAGATGTTGGAGGGGAAGCCATTATTCCCGGGCAAGGACCGTGCGTGACCTTATCCGCCATGGATTGCCAATCATCGTACTGAATTGGGTTCATAGACGTCGACCAGTTCTCAATCATCACACAATTGCTCGGTACACCTCCGGACGACGTGATCCAGACGATCTGCAGCGAGAACACGCTCCGGTTCGTGCAGAGCTTGCCGAAGCGCAAGCGCGTCCCCTTCAGCGAGAAGCTGAGGTGTAACGACGAGACGGCGCTGGACCTGCTCGAGAAGATGCTCGTCTTCGACCCGGTGAAGCGTATCAACGCCGAGCAGTCCCTCGCACACGAGTACGTCGCACCGTACCACGACCCGACGGACGAGCCGGTCGCTGGCGAGAAGTTCGACTGGAGCTTCAACGACGCCGACTTGCCCACGGATACGTGGAAGGTCATGATGTACAGCGAAATTCTGGACTTCCATCAGGTCAGCGACGGTGGGAACGGTGTTGTCGCCGAGGGCGCTCTCGCGGGACCGGACGGCGGCATTCGCGCCGCAGAGTAAGCGCGCGCCAATGCTGTGAAGCTATAGATCCGTCTCGCCTCTCGCATACCCCCTCTGTACACCGTCCCCCTGCACGTCTCTACACACGCATCCACGAAGGACAAAGACTTGTGAAGGAAGAAGTATCAGCGGCGGACTCAAGTTGCGCCTATGTATGTTTGTAATCGCTTTCGGTCCCTCCAGCTCTACTAGTACTATACGATCATACGGTTTTCGCACCCTCCCTCGTGTATCTCTTGGTCGATCGGTCGGTCGGTGGTCGAATCGTCGCTGCTTTGTGTGAATCTCTCGTTTGCTTCGCTGTCTGGCTTTATCTCCTCTTGTATTACCGAATACGCGCCACGGACACACGATATGTGGTAGTGATGTTCAGCTTGAGTAAACTAGGAACAACTATAACGTGCTTTCTGGGTCTCTGGTCACGCCTCATGTATATGTGCGATCAAAGCAGTCCATTCAGTGATCAGTATAAGTACAGATTTGTGAGCACAACGGCAGCCGCGCGCAATCTTAGCCGCCTTCACTCGACTCGCCGAGATCGAGCTTCCCCAATGTCATCCCGTCCCCGAGCCATCGTACAACGTCCAGCATGTACCCCATCTGATGCCTCAATCTCTGCATCCGGGTCTCGTCTGCGTCATCGCCCGCGGCCTCGAGGGGTGTACAGATGTAGTCGTCCCACCGCACGCCTTGGAAGGCCGATACCGCATGTTGCCCACTTCCTGGCCAGAGCGACGCCGGAGTGCCATCCGGCGCGCGCATCCATGACTGACAGTCGCTTGCGTGCACAGTCTACATCAACTCGTTAGTAAATTCTTCAACTGATGTTCATGAGGCACTGACCCTCGGGAAGAACTGCCTCGCGTGCTCCTCCCATCCCGCTACCGCATCCGCTCTAACCTCAACACTACCAATCCCCTCCCTCTGCATCCTCCCCACAATATCAGCGATATACCTCGCCTCGGCTTCCAACACGCTGACGAGATGACCGCTCGTGATGTACGATCCCGGACCGAGACCGAGGAACATGTTCGGGAAACCGTCGACGGCTAGTGAGAGGTAGGCTGAAGCGTGGCCATGGGTGCCCCAACGCTCGGATAGGTCGTCGTGTAGGCCTGTGACCATGAAGGGGTAGTGGAAGGAGGTGTCAAAGCCTGTTGCGAGGACTAAGATGTCAAGAGGGTGGTGGGTGCCGTTCGAGGTTGTGACACCCGTGGGCGTGATTTGGGAGATGGCGTCTGTCTCGAGGATAGCCTGAGCGCGAGGTCAGATGGAAGTGAGCGTATGAACAGTGAGAATGTGCATACGTTGTCAGCGCAAAGGGCCTCAAGGTACCCAAGCCCTGGTACAAGACGTCGGCAGCAAACCGGCCAATGCGGTATCACTGTGTGCAACGTCAGCGTCTGCCAGTGTGGATAACAGAGACGGCCCGCATACGTTTGTCCGCGAGATCGGGTCTTCCGGCTAGCTTCGCCTTCATACCGTCGCGCACCATCTTCGACCCAGCAGCTTGTACAGGTGAATCTCGCAAGATGACCTCCGCAAAGGCCTGTTTCAAGTCAGTTCAAGCGATCTGAGATTGGGCAAGTGCGCGTACATGGAGTGACGCCTCCAGCTTCTCCCTGAACTGAGAGTAGAACTGTGGATCTGAGCGAAAGCGCTCCTTTTCCTCCTCCGTGAACACATCTGCGCATCGTCAGCGTCTCGTTTAGGGGTCCAAGCAGCGTGGAAGGGCGTACGATCATCTCCGGCATCATCTCGTCCAAGTGACTCCTTGATCGTGTTCTCGGAGAATGGCGCGCTAACATACGTACCCCCGCGGGCGAAGTTGACAAGTTTGCGCACACTCGGCTGAAGCGCGGTGACTATCTGGATTCCGGATGCGCCCTGGTAGTAGTCTATCAGCTTCGCGAGCAAGAATGAACTGTTGACGGTGTATGCACCGTGCCGACAACGCCTATAGCCTTGTCCTCCCACCCTGCGACCGTATCCTCCCATCCTCCCGGTGCACGTGGCCACGCCGCGCTATGTATGACCTGACCCTTAAAGCTGGCCAGCCCAGGGATATCGGGCATCTTCCAACGTGACAACGAGCCTACGCCGAGGAATAGTACATCCGCCGTGTCATCGAACTCCTCTTGCTCATTCCCGCTATCCCTGCAGATGCGTAGACGCCATTTATTATTCTCATCATCCCAGACCGCGGAGAGCAAGGTGTGCTTGAGCCGTATGTGTGGTGTAACCTCGTACTTGTCTGAAACGTGCGAAAGGTAGGCACAAATCTCGGGCCCTGGCGCGTAGAAAGAGCTCCAGTCTGGCTGTGGCACTGTAGTCGATCAAAGAGCAGCCGAGACGGACATGGCATACTCACGTTCGGTTCGAATGAGAACTGGTACTATAGACGGTGTATGGTTAGTGCAACCCCTACTGTAGCGACAGGCACAGACGTACGCAGTGGGATGGGATGTCACACGTCAAACCCTATTCCGGGTTTGGATTAGAAAGCGACGGCGCGAAGCAGCGGGAGGACGTACTGGATACCGATTCGCGTACCACACTCCTCCTAGTCCATCTTCCTTCTCATATATCGTCAGATCGAGGTTGTCGATCGTCTGCTTGAGTCTTCCGAGTGCCGGTAAGCGCCCAAGCATGGGTGGAGCAACATGTGAAACACGCACTGTATGGCAAGAGCGATACTGGAGTATCCAGCACCGATGCAGACTACCTTTATAGGCCGACGTGTAGCCATGATAGTGATGAGCAGAGTAGTGGTGGTGAAGGGCCGATGCGATCTGTACTGATGTATATAGTCCCGGGCGTCTCAGTAGCCATGCGTCACCGGCGGCCTCGTTCGTCTTGGCCGAGAGACGCCGGGCTGCATTGGGGCTGGAGGCAGTGCACTTGTGTCTGGAACGCCTCTGGAGGTTATACATTGTCCATGCGAAGCAACATTAAATATCATGACGACCCAAAAGCGCGAGCTCGAAACACAGCACATGGAAGACTTTGACAGGGTAGAATGCACGCTGCTAGCTTCGCAGGTGATTTCAGCGGCAACGGCCCGATCTTTCTAACCCTAACCCATATATATTCATTAAACGGGATGAACCAACCTTGGCTTAACGACCACCACCTGTCTCTACTTGGCATCACTATCATCATTCATGTATTACAGTAGCATCCGCGACAGTCTGGCTCATGTATATAAACATCGCTAAGGAGCACGGTACCACAGGTAGGTTGGGCCCGGGTAAGACCGATGAGGAAGTCAAAGTACAAACATCTTTGGCTCAGATTCTCGCCACGCAGCTCGTTGGCCTACGTCGATTCTTCTCGCATCAGCGCAATGGCCTCCTTCAGACGTTGATGCAACACCTGTGCGAAAGCTCCGTCATACGCTTCGCACTGCAATGGGTACAGATACAACTTCTGCGCACGACGTCAAACATGCCACCGAAATCGCGAACGACTGAATGAATGGCTCACCTCCGTATCAGACTCGAAGGCACGATTTAGATCTCCATGCAACGACGCAGTCTTCGGCTTCTGATAGTGCTCTAACCGGTCCTCTCGACACCGGTCGTGTCGTAGCAGACTGCGCACCGCCGGTGGGTCCACTACCTCGCGTTTACCCCGCAGATAGACGCGGGCGCAGAGCTTGCTTGCGTGGTCATCCCTCGCGTATTCGATCCGGCGGCAGATGTGATTCTTCATCTGCGGATAACGCGTGAGCCTCGAGGAGTACAGTCTCAACGTTGTGTACTGACGTCGTTTGGTAGGCCCACCCACTCGCTGCCACTCAACCGCGTCTCCGCATTCGGCTTATAGGTATAGCGCCCTATATAGCTATAGACATCCTCCTGCCCGTCCTTCTGCACGCAGCACAGAACCTGCACAACACTCTCCCATCCCGTCCTCTCGAAGGGCCCAACATGGTCCAATATGAACACCGGCACCCCAGGCTCACTCGTCGGAATGGGTGTACTCTTCGAGTTAACGATGAGGATGTCCGTACAGACTCCTTTAAGATCTCTCAAAACGTCTGTGCGCAGGATGGTATAGCGTCGGTGAATCAAGTCTCTACCGAGCGCTTGGCGGATCTCGTCGCGAGTGCCAGATGGAGTCGGTGTTTGGAGGGCAAGAGGGAGAGTGTAGGTCGCCGTGCGCGCGATCCAGTCTTGATACATGTCGGGTATAGCGTTTCTGAAGGTGGGACGGGTGCGGCCAAGAGGAGAGGTGACGGTGACCGGGCGCGCAGGGGTGTTCGCCGACTTCCTGACGCCGATGGCATCCCTGATGCAAAAGTCAGCGAGAGCTCGATGCATGCACTTATGGCTGACCGCCTAGTTGGGTCCAAGAGCACATGACGCTGTCGCGGGCGCCTCACCTGGCTGGTGATGGGTCCTACGGCGGCACGGGACGGTGTCGGCCTGGGATGAACAGGTTGTGTTGTGTATGCCACCGGTGGTAGCGTCACAGGATACCCCAACATACTGAACGGAGGAAGGAGCGTATCCTCCTATAGAAGGGGACATCGTCAGGAAAGGTATGCCTGTACAATGAGTAAATGGGGGTGTCACTTACCAGTGGTACATCGGAAGGCTCAGGCGTCTCAGCGGGCGCATCCAAGTCCAAGAAGAACGGGGTCGGACCTCGTGCTTCGCGCTCTGAAGTGTCCATGTACTCGACTTCGGGGCATGGCGCGCAAATAGTAGATCCTGTATCGAGTACCTGTGTCATGCTCTCCCAAAGCATCTGAGTCGGAACGTGCTCGACATCCTCGTATCGACGAACAAAGGCTCGAATGCCATCTGCCGATTGGGGGAATACGTCCAAGAACCGGTCGATAAGCTTCGAGTTGCTGTCGCAATATTCCATAGCGGTGTAGTGAGGGGTGAGGAGGGAAGAGCGATGGAGGGTATGTACGTCGCGGCTAAGTTCTGTGAATGTTAGATATATTCGGTTAGCGCTGTTCGGAGGAGCCACACGCCGGCCCGCAGACCCGAGGTCCACGTAAATATGGACCCACACTCGTCCACCAACCCACCTTCACCGTACTCGCCCGCAGTCCTGTCTATTGCCACGAACGGGGTTGATGCCCGAGTGGCATATGAACGCGCACATAAAGAACCTAAATGAGGGATCGTGATAGTGGGCGAGTACAGTGGATAGTAGAGGGCATGCTTTGATACAGTCGGTCTACGGGTAATCGGCATCGGAAGCGACGAGCGACGAGAAGGTTCGTGAGGAGAGATATGAAGGAGAGCGAGGTGGTCGGAGAGACAAAGAACGCGAAAATGTCCCAGGATTAGTGATAGTGGTATATGACAGCGTGTCCATGTGTAAGTGCGGTTTGCGAGCGTAATGTAAACAAGCAGAAGCGGCGAACTTGGGCGGTATGAAAGGCAGAGGCGGGAACGTGCAGGCTGGGCCTACATAATGATACAGTCCTTGTCCTTCTTCTCCTTTCCGCCGCCACTTGAGCTATCGTTGTCCAACCTCTGCAACACGCTCCCCGGTCCGCCAGGTGTAGGCGGCGCTGCTCCGCCTTTCAACCTCTGGGCCGCGCGTTTATCGCCCAGATCGGCCGCGCGCTTATAATACTGATTCGCCTCGCGCGGATCAGGCTGGGTGCCGATCCCAACCTCCAGGAAGTATCCCACAGCGTACATCGCCTTTGCTAAACCCGCATCCGCCGCACGCTTGGCCCACAAGTATGCCTCGGTGTCGCTCTGGGGTAGTACGCCAGGCGAGCCGACGAGGTACCACGCTGTAAGTGCGAAGCAAGCGTCCCGATGATTCTGCTGCGCTGCGATGTTGTAGTAGTGGATCGACAGAGCCGGATCCTGCGGGCATCCCATCTTGCCGTACTCGTAGCATTCTCCGAGGCGGTAAGCGCTGGGCGCGTAACCGAGTTCGGCTGCTTGAGCGAGTAGCTCAGCTGCATAATCGTAGTCGACGAATACGACACCGTCGCCGATACCGCGTTCATGGAGTAGTGCGAGCTCGTGTAACGCGTGAGGAAATTCGGCCGTGGCGTGCTCGGCGGAGCGCTTAAGCCATTTAACGCCTTCCTTGGGACGTTTTGAGAGACCAAGCTCGCCGTTGAGTTCTGCGATGCCGAGTCGGTACATTGCGCCCGGGTGCAACGATGCGGCGGCCTTGCGGTAGAACTACGAGAGTAATCATCGTTAGGTCAAAGCTTAGAAGCCGTAAACGCGCAGCAGAAATAGCACACACCTGGACGGCCTTGGCCGACTCGCGGCGGCATCCCCAGCCGTTCTCGCAGCATGTGCCCGCGCGGTAGGACGCGTCGGGATGACCATGCTTGGCGGCGAGAATAAACAGCGGGAAGGCGCGGTCAAAGTCTTGCTTTCCCTTTGCCGTGCCGATGCCATTCGCGTAGCAGTCGGCCAGAAAATATTGGGAGGGCATGTGTCCGCGGTCTGCATTGCGCTTGAGGAGCTGTACGGCCTCCTTCACGAGGTCGTCACGTTTCTCGAGTGCCTTCTCGACCTGGATCACGTTTCCCGGCGTCGGCGCAGGTATTGGGTACGTCTTGCTCGCGTCGACCATGAATACAGCCAGCTCAAACTGCAAATCGGGATCCTGTGTCTTCTTCGCGTTCGCACGGTATAACTCCAGCGTGCGCTCGTGGCTCATCAGCGCCGCCTGCGACCCGGGCTTCAAGTGCGAGTGGTCCAGGATCGGCGCGGCCGGCGGTGGCGAGGGCGCGCGTACACTCTGTGTCGCAACGCTCACGGGAATTGCCGGTACAGATTGCTGGCCGTTCTGAGCGTAGAAGTCGTCCTCTTCGGCGTCGTAGTCCTGGATCATGGTCGCACCAGGCGGTGTGTAGTCTCCCAGCGTCGGCTGCGACGTCGACGGCCGAGGCGCCCGCGCCGGCCGGTACGCGTCGTCTTGTGGGGGTATCCAGCTTTCGGGTCGGGAGGCGCTGGCCACGGACATTATTTGGATCGATATGTGGCTGGTGGTGGTCGAGGGCGAGTAGCGGGCGAGCGGCGAGCATCCGCGGCACTTCCCGCCCACGTTGATCGCACTCAACCGTTGACGTCAACTCGAACCGCCGGCTTGTCTTTCGTCCGCAACGTCCACCAGCTGGCGTAGTCGCCCTACTCGACCATATCGTAGAGATGGGATACGATGCTCATTCTCAGCCGTGCGAACTCCTGGGCACAGCTTGTGTTCTCTTCTTGCCCGTACATTTGCCGTGCGGCTGAACAGATGCCGCATCCTGAGATCTCTTCGCTTTCTTCCACCGTGATCTGTAGTTCGTCCGGTCAGGCGCCTATGTCAGATGCACCGTTCTCGTCCGCCGTATCCTCTTCTGGCAACGCGGGACGCTCTAAGAACAACTATGTCCCAATTGCATTCGCTCGGTGGGCCCTTTGACCAGCGCTACATCATGGAACTTCTGGCCTGACCTAAGCCTTGCTTGCGCCTTGCCTCCTCGTACTCATGAGTTTGACCTGTTTCGGACTTCGATTCACCACGGTTTTTCTCTTCAGAGCAAACCTTGCTGCTCCTTGACGATTACATGGGAGCCAAGGCACAAGAATCATACTACGCAAGGGCCGTTCGTCGCAGGTATAAGTACTCGCCCGTGCAGTGCACGGGGGGGAGGCTATCTCAACGCGCAACAATCTCTCGCTATCGGTCGAGCCGACCAGGATGGCTATCTTCTCTCGAATCCCCTCGCTATGGCGTCCAAGGGCTTATTCGACATCCAAGGACTCCCCGCCTCCCAAGACACCCTCACCGACACCAATCGCGAAGGACGCCACTACCGCGCTCAATGCGCATGGCATCCAACCCACCCCGGCGCCTGCACACGTTCTGAACGGTGCAGCACCTCCCAAACCGGTCAACGTCATCCCTAGAAAGCCGGTCATCAGCGCGCCTACACCTCCAACCCAAGCGCCGGCTCTCAATGGCAACGCCCATTCCAAACCCAGCGCTACGCCCTCGCCCTTGACACTGAATGGTAGCGCTGGGCCCCAGGCTAAGGCGTCAACGTCAACATACGTCCCACCTGACTTTGCAATCGACGAATGGAGACGGATGAAAGTGGTCGTTATCGGTGCCGGATACTCAGGCATAACCGCCGGCATACGGTGCGCTCCCCTCATTCTGTACTGTCCTCACAATGTCTTGAACTCACGACCTCATTATCCCCCAGGTTCTCTCAGCGCGTTGCGAACCTCGATCTTACAATCTACGAGAAAGAGCGCGCAGTCGGTGGGACGTGGCACGTCAACCGGTACCCAGGTCTTATGTGTGATATACCCTCGCATTCTGTACGTCTACTTCTCTGTACGTTCAACCGTTCAGATCTGATACTGTCGGGCATAGTACCAGCTCACATTCGCTCCCAATACTCAATGGTCCGGCTTTTACGCCCCCGGCCCCGAGATCAGGGCCTACCTCCAATCCGTCGCAGACAAATGGAAGATCGCACGATTCCTCAAACTCCGACACGAGCTCGTCAGTGCGAAATGGGATGAAGGCGCACACAAGTGGCGGTTGCGTATCAAACGATACGTAGAGAAGGAGGGTGGCGGCGAGGAGGAGGAAGAGTTCGATGACGATGCGGACGTGCTGTTCCTCGGTACAGGGGCTCTGTCTAGATGGAAGTGGCCTGATATCCCAGGTCTCGAGACGTTCAAGGGGAAGGTGCTACATTCAGCTCAGTTTGCGGGTGATGAGGTTAAGGAGTGGGAGGATGTTACGAAGGATTGGGGTGATAAGCGCGTGGGTGTTGTCGGGAATGTGCGTACTCGCGTGTCATATGAAGTGAATGAGGGCTGATGAGAATCTTTGTGCAGGGATCAACGGGTATCCAGGCAGTTGCGGCCCTTCAGTCACGCGTCAAAACGCTCGTCAACTTCGCCCGACAGAAGACATGGCTATCCGCGTTATTCGCAGTGCGGTCGATGTTCGAGCTCATAGGAAGGGACCCTGCAAGCGGACTCTGTACGCGCATCGTCGTCTCTGACCATAAGGACCTTGCTGATGACGAACTGCTCAGACGACTTCCCGGAAGACTTCAAGAAGCGATTAGCAGACGATGCTGAGTTTTATGACAAGTTCAGGCATGCAGTCGAGCACGACCTTAATGTGCGCTTCATGTTCATCGCTGCCTCCACGGCCTGCTCATCAGAGTGCATAGTCGGTAGCGCAAGTTACGATCAAGAGTTCGGCCATGCAGAAAGCCGCAGCGGAGGCTTTCCGCGCGGACATGGAGGCCAAGCTCGCGACAAAGCCCGAATTGCGAGAGAAGAGTGCGTGTTCTATATCTAGATTCGTGTTTAGGTCAGCGGAGGATTGATCCCATATCAGTTATACCGGACTTTGCCGTGTGCTGTCGACGCCTGACGCCCGGGCCGGGATATCTCGAGGCGCTCTGCGAGGAGAATGTGCGTATATTGTACAATTGAACTCTCCTGTAATCTCAAGCAGCATAGACAACGCTCGAGACAACGCCCATCGCGCGCCTGACGCCTACAGGTGCCGTCCTCACCGATGGGCGCACCTACGACCTCGACGTCCTGGTTTGCGCCACTGGCTTCGATGCCTCCTATACCTACCCCTTCTCCATCATCGGTCGCGACGGCACCCCGCTCAATCAACGCTGGACACCCCACCCCGAAGCATACCTCTCCATCGCCGTCGACGGTTTCCCGAACTTTTTCTGGGGCCTCGGACCGAACTCCGGCGTCAATAGCGGGAGCTTACTGGTGGTGATGGAAAGACAAGTCGACTATGCGGTCGCTGCGACGTTGAAGATGCAGAGGGAGAGGATTGCATGCATGGATGTCAAGAGGAGGGCGGTAGATGCGTGGCGGGAGTATATGAAGGGGTTCTTCCCGAAGACCGTCTTCAACGATGGCTGCAAGAACTGGTACTCTGCTCCGGACGGCCACATCCGTGCGCTTTGGCCAGGTACGTGTCTCCACGCCGTGCGCACGCTCAGCAATCCGCGCTGGGAAGACTGGGAGTACACACCTCTCGATGGCGAGGAGGTCACGGGCGGGAACCCCCTATACTGGCTTGGAGACGGGATGAGCGCGAATGAGAAGAGTATGACGGGCGATCGGGCGTGGTATCTTGACGGGGTCGATATGCCGCCGGGTACGTTGCTTGTTTGTGCTCTGAGGGCCACACGAGCGCTGACCAACCATGGAAGTCCCGGAGTAGGATAGACATCTACGCATGTCGTGCTCTTGCTGCACATTTTCTATGCCCACTATTCATGTCGGACTCGATCATCTCCGGCGGATGGCATACTTGCTCTCTCTGCGGGTCCCCGCAGGTAAGACGATATATGTCAAGAGAATCAGACATGTCCGTGCAACGTTCTCTAAGTGGCTTCTGGCCGTGAGAACGTTGTGATCTGAGAAGTTCAGTACCGCATTTGGTTGTTGCAGTTGACCTCTTGACCTTCTTGAGCCTCTGATATTCCTTTTTTGCTCACCTAAGGCGGGTCATAGTCATTACTATACCTCAGTCATGCTCGAGAGCATTGCCGGTTTTGGAACTCGCACTACCGCGGTACTCGCTTTTCCGGTTGAGTTCGCTGCTTCGTGGGGGCCAACCCGGCCACAGACCCACTCACAGACCGGGTCAAGCAGTACGTGCACTGTTTTCACCAGTGCATAAGAATCCCTGCGAGGGAACTTGCCCTGTAGGGTACTCTCCACTGAGGACAGGTCAAGCCCAGTTCCCGACTTTTCCCCCGCTACACCCTTCCTCAACATGCACGACGGTGGCGCTCGACCACAAGATGAAGCCTCGGATATTCCAGACTTCGAGCATCAACCGCGATATGTCCCACCGGACTTCGCTATCGACGACTGGAGGCGGATAAAGGTCGTTGTTATTGGCGCGGGATACGCCGGTATCACTGCAGGCATACGGTAGCTTTTCCTCTTTGGCACTTTTTCAAAGCTGACGATCTTTTCATAGGTTCTCACAGCGCATACCAAACCTTGACCTTACGATCTACGAGAAGGAGAGCGGTGTGGGCGGCACGTGGCACGTGAACCGGTATCCAGGGTTACTATGCGACATACCCTCGCATTGTGTATGCCTTTCGCCTCCCCCCATCCCTACATTTGCTGATGCTCTGCGCAGTACCAACTCACCTTTGCACCTAATACGCAGTGGTCGGGCTTCTACGCTCCCGGGCCCGAGATTCGCGCATACCTCCAGGGCGTGGCCGACAAATGGAAGCTCTCACGTTTCATCAAACTTCGTCACGAGCTCATGGGCGCACGATGGGACGAAGGCGCGAAGAAGTGGCGGCTGCGCGTACGTCGTTGCATTGAGAACGAAGGCACCATTGAAGTCGCTGAAGAGTTCGATGACGACGCGGACGTGCTCTTCCTCGGTACCGGCTCACTCTCACGCTGGAGGTGGCCCGACATTCCTGGACTTGATACCTTTGAAGGACCTATCCTTCACTCTGCGCAGTTCACGAACAAGAAAGACATGGAGTGGGAGGATGTCGTGAGGGGGTGGGGCGATAAGCGCGTCGGCGTTATCGGAAATGTGCGTGCTGTCTCTTTCACGCCTCAATCAAGAACTTCGTTCTGAACAGATACGTGCAGGGCTCTACGGGCATACAGGTTGTTACAGCTCTTCAGCCACGCGTCAAGACATTGGTCAACTTCGCGAGACAGAAGACATGGCTTTCTGCTCTGTTCTCCGTACGGTCTATGTTTGAGCTTATCGGGCGCGATCCTGAAAGCGGGCTCTGTAAGTGACTCTCAACTCCCAGTTGGTAGGGGTAATCTGATGTTGGACCATATGCAGATGACTTCCCCGAGGACTTCAAGAAACGCCTTGGTTCAGACCCCGAGTTCTACAAGAAGTTTAGACATGCTGTTGAACATGATTTGAACGTATGCCAGTTGCTTTGATACGTCCATACGGAGGCGGTGCTCATCCAGAACAGTCTGTAGCGCAGGTCACCCTCAAGGACTCGGACATGCAGAAGGCCGCGGCGGATGCATTCCGTGCGGATATGGAAGCAAAGCTCGCACAGCAGCCAGACCTGAAGGACAAGAGTACGTCAAATGTCACGGAGTTCGCCCAAAACCGTGCTAAAGGTCACACAGTCATCCCCGACTTCGCCGTGTGTTGCAGGCGCTTAACACCGGGCCCGGGTTATCTCGAGGCGCTTTGCGAGGAGAACGTGCGTCTGTCACAGTAAAACTGCATGCGGCCTTGATTTCGCTGACACCGCCCAGACAACGCTGGAGACCACGCACATCGCGAGCGTAGCGCCCAACGGCGTTGTTCTCACCGATGGACGTACCTACAATCTTGATGCGTTGGTCTGCGCCACAGGATTCGATGTGTCCTACACATTCCCCTTCCCCGTCATCGGTCGAGATGACACTCCGCTCTCCGCTCGTTGGAATCCGCATCCAGAGGCCTACCTTGCACTCGCCGTTGACGGCTTTCCAAACATGTTCTTAGGTCTCGGACCTAACTCGGGCGTATTCTCAGGCAGTTTGCTCATCATCATGGAGAAGCAGGTCGATTATGCCGTTGCCGCCACACTCAAGATGCAAAGGGAGAGGATTGCGAGTATGGAGGTCAAGGCAGACGTGGTCAGCGCATGGAGGCAGTATATGAAGGGCTTCTTTCCCAAGGTATTTATCCGATGCATATACCTCTGTCGGAGAACTTGCACTATGGAATGCTGACTGAGAACGCAGACCGTCTTCAATAGCGGCTGTTCCAACTGGTATAGTGCCGCGGACGGTCACATTCGCGGGCTCTGGCCTGGAACCAGCCTTCATGCTGTGCGCGCCTTGAGTAATCCTCGGTGGGAAGACTATGAGTACTCGATGATCGACGAGGATGAGATCACTAGAGGAAGTCCCTTGTACTGGCTCGGCGACGGCATGACTGCAAATGAGAAGAGCATGACTGGTGACCGTGCGTGGTATCTGAATGATGTTGATATTCCTCCGGGTACGTCGTCGGATGTTTACGCTCAAAAGGGAGAACTTGACTCTATATCGCAGTGCCTGTCTGATACCCTCGCCGTCCTACTTGGTGAGAGTGGGGCCGTACGCAAGAAGCTCTACCGGAAGCGTATTGTGGGAGTAGGAATGCAGAACGTTCGACTGTCGGACGCTCGCGATCTTCAATGCTGAGCGCTGAGACACGCCGATGCTTCCATTCCTATTCATATATTAGCGCCTAAAGGCCAACTTATACCTGTTCTCCCATACATTGATACGCACGTTCCTACCAACGACGTCATTTCGTTGCGTCGGCGTCGGTGCGTGCGATAGTCGCCATGCTTCTCGCCCGACTGCGCGACGTCAAGGTGCCAACAAGCTCTCCTTGTCATTGGTCCATGTGAGCCTGTAGTGTCTATTTATGGCATTGGCTTTGATGAGAGCCTTGCTTTACGGCGCATATAAGGGCGTGTCTGTCATCTGCGAAGGCTCCATCACCGACCATGTTGCCCGCTACCCTTATAACTTTCACTCTAGTAGCTGTTACTGCTGCTCAGCAGAACGTCTTCAATACAGCGAGCTCTGGATGCAGTACTGATGTTCCTGTCTCATGCGACGAGAACAGCGGCTCATGCTGTGTCGAGTATCCTGGCGTACGTACTAATCCTTCGTTATCAATTGCTGTTGGGCGACTGGGCTGATCGAACACGAACAGGGCTTAATCACGCAAACCCAGTTCTGGGATACTGATGTGCCAGATTCTCCCTCTGACTCTTGGACGATACATGGTACGTCTCGGGGACATTGATGCCAGAAGTCAGTGGGCTTACGCAAGTCAGGTTTGTGGCCCGACAACTGCAATGGCGGGTTTCAAGAAAACTGCGACAAGAGCCGCGACTACAAGGACATAACGACACTGCTTACGAACGCGGGTTTGACTGACACTCTAGACTTCATGAACACGGTAATGCTATTCTCCTTGTATGGAGAGCTATGAACTGAATCGATCAGTACTGGATCAGCGATGACGAAACGAATGAGAAGTTTTGGGAGGTAATGGAACCATCGTACCCTCGATGCCGAACTACAAAGACTGAGTATGTACTACAGCATGAGTGGTCGACACATGGAACATGCTACAGGTACTGTACAGCTGGGTGACCTTGAAGAAGCACATCGTTGACAAGTAGTACAGCACACTCAAACCAACATGCTTCTCTGACTACAACACTGGTGACGAGGCCGTGCTCTTCTTCCAAACGGCTGTGCGCGTCTTCCAAGTATGTCACGATCTACAGTAAGATCGGCAACACCTGACAAAGTGGGCGCAGTCATTACCGACATACCAGTGGCTGGCAGACGCAGGGATCACTCCTGATAGTGATCAGACTTACACGCTGGAAGAGCTCACTTCGGCCCTGAAGCAGTCCTCCGGAGTGCGTACAGCGTATTCTCCTGCCTGGAATCGTACTGAGTGCATCCATTCCAGGTCACGCCAGAGTTTGAATGCAGTGGAAAGGTCTGCCCAAAGCTCGTATAGAGCAGGAGTGAGAATACTGACATCACTGAAGAACATCAACTCCATCTTCTGGTACTTCAACTTGAAAGGTTCGCTTTACGACGGCCAACTGGTACCAATTGGTGCGTCAAGTCAAAGCGACTTGTATCTGTCGAGCAAGGGCTGAGGAAACCAAATTCTCGCCCATAGATGCACCCGAGAGTTCGATACGCGGAGGTAATTGCGCTTCGAGTGGCCTCAAATATCCCCCCAAGCAAAGCGGGTCCGTAAGGGCGGGAAAAGACGAATTCTGATCGTCTCTCATTGAGGACTACATCGGCATGCACGCAGAACTGAGTAAGTATCGAAGATGAAGATCGAAGGGAGTTGGAAGCCGCCGCTCGTGATACAATGTATGCCTCGAGGCCCGTACTCTAGTGTAGAAATTAAGTGTCGCGCATAAGCTAGTATCGTGTTTTCGTATCGTAACTGCGTCCTTTACGTATCGAACTTGCAAGCTTGACCGGGGTCTGAAGAGGGGAATACTTAAGGGAATTCGAAAGCGGGTTAACCCCAACCCCAAGATGTCACCACAAGGCGGATGTCGCGATGCACGATACGCACGAACAGACCCTGGATGTGAGCGACAGCAAACACCATCACAAGGACTCACACATGGGCGTGCATTTAGACGCGCAAAGGAGGTGATAGTAGCCAAAAGTAGTTCACGGACATACACTACGTCATACATTCATCCAGTCCTTCGGGCTCGAAGTAGTAGTATATTACGCGATAACGTTCCTCCTTCTCTTGTCGCATTTTCTCCTCGGTATTGAGAGCAAAGGTGCTCTCATCACACCCCGTCGTACTCCGGGCACGACCTGATTGGCAAGATTGCGTCAGATAAGATAAGATGATCGAGCACGATATAAGCGTACAACCGTTCATCGACGACCCCCGAGTCGTTTACCGGTGATCTGAACTTCATATCGGTAGAGGGTCTTCTGAGCTGCCGAGAACTGGTGGAGCCACTCGTCGCCGGTCTCCTTGAGAAGTATCCAAATACAGTACGGGCCAATGAGCAGTAGATCGCCCGCGCGCTTGGGGTAGTACCGAAGAGTCCGAAGATGACGTATGACAAGACGGGACTCATCCATTGGATGAAATCGGCGTACGGCTGTCGCTCCTTCACGGCCGGGGCCCAGTCTGAATGTACGATTTTCCAGCCTGAGTAGAAGTTCGCGGGCTCCTTGTCCGATGTCAGGATGAACAGCGAAAGGGTAACTATCCCGAGAGGAAGAGTGAAGACGATGTCGAAACTGGCCATTGCGAAGATCCGCCAGTAGTTTGCATATGGCGCCCTTGCGTTGCCCACCGGTTGGTCCCTGACGAACCTTTGATGCCGATATAGAGAGCATACGATCCTTCCTGGCAGCACGGCCATGATAGGTCAACTACATTGTAACGTATGCAGTGCGCGGAACTCACTGTAATAGACGACGATTGACAATAGCGGGACGCAGACGCCCCATCCTAGCAGTAGCAGGGCTGCGAGTATTGAATGATCTACAGCGTAGGTACATCCACGACCCGGAATCACGTCGAAGCGGCGGGACTGTACCACGTAGTCTGGCGGGCCTTGTTAGCTCTGCCAATTTCAAGTTACATCATCATGAAACTTACAAAGAGGACCGGCAACAACTATAGGACATACAAAACCCAGTGTCCATTCAAGGACAAGATTGCGCCGAGTCTATGAGCGACCTCTCAGTGAAGTAGGCATGGGATGTGTACATAGCACACTTACATTGTATTCATCACTGGAAGGGGGACCGACGATGTAGCAGAGTCGACGAGTGAGGATGAGCGTCGTCATGCATTTGAGTACATAGCAGAATAGCTCCAGCCGGGAATCTAGTGACAGTGAGCTATGGTATCTGATCTCCTGGTGATAGTTTGCTTACGGAAGTCACAGTAGACATAGTGATGGATATCCATGCTGTCCGCCCAAACGATCCCGTTGATACCGGCCATGAAATCTTCTATCATGAGCCAAAAGCATAGGAAGAAGACACCGCGATTCCAACGTCGACGGACAATGCTAGTTAATAGCACAAGGAACAACATTGTAGCGCCTGTGAAGGATACGATGGAGTACAGCGGGTACGAAGGGTTCACCGCGCTCATGTTGTGGAGGCCTGTGCAACCGCGTGGAGAGAGCCATATATAATGGATTCCTCAGGGAGTCCAACAGTATCGACTCCGCGGTGGGGCAGGTAGTACTGCGCGATAAGCACTTTTCAATCTGTCTGGATCAAGTACGCCCTGAATAAGATGTTATAGAGTGGGCCAGTCCAGAAAGGGAGTAGATCGTGGCAGTATCGGCACCAATGCCGCTGCACGCGCATGTTCCAACAGTTGCGACGCGGAGCCCGGAACGTATCAGGCATATCGATAAAGAGAAGCCATGTCCTCATTGCTCTGGGTAGGATATACGTGTACATAGTATGCAGGCATATGCAGGCGCGTTCGTGGCGAGACCGCAAAGCGTCGTGGTGGGACGAAGAGAGCCAGCGATCGAGTCGGCGACCGTGCGACGGCATGTGATGAAACGCAGTCACGCCATCGTGACTTGTTTGTTGACCTCAATGATCTCAGCCGGCGCTTACGGGCGGATGGGTTTACTCCCAGTCGCGCGACCATGCATTCGCTCACATTCTTGCCTCTTGCCGTCACCTGTACATCTCATACTAGCTAGCCAACACCATGCAGTCACTCTCTACCGAGGAATCAGCCTACATGTCGCCGGACTTGTCTTCCCCGGCTTCCTCACCCGACTCATCGCCCAATCTCGAGCCTTTGGATCTTGATTTGAACTCTGGCTGGGACAGTGACACGGAAGCGCATAACCACGATCCATACGCTGGCTCTCAGTATGCGCGCCGGCCGCCGCGCATGTACGAGCGTAGGGTGGATGCTGCACCATTCGAACCGGCTTCAACACTGTCAACCCCGCCAGTTACTCCGCCGCCCAATCAGACCGCGCGACAGCCAGCTGCTGTCAACATCACACAAGACCTCGAAGACTTATGGGGCGACGACGAGGAATCCGCGCGGCCACCGCTCGAGTTTCAGACGAGTGCACCAGACATCGAGATGCTCGAGACGAAGCATAAGATGGATGCGTGGAAGGACGTCATCAGTGAAGCCGTGGACAACAACACCCAGACTATCGACCTTTCGTAGGTCGTTGTCTGTCAACGACATGGTTTGAACTGATATACGTAGAAACAAAGGTCATACGTTCATCCCAGACGAGGTGGCTGATCTCTCCGGCATCACCATACTTCAAGAGGACCATGCTCGACATCTGACTTCTGCACGATCGTTTGGCAAGTCCGAATTCAAGCGCAAGCTCGGTTCGGGCGCTCAGACCTTGGGTCTCGAACTGAACCTGGCTGCAAACGCTATATACGCGCTTCCTCCGGGTCTGTTCGCTTTGGATAACTTGACTTTTCTATCTCTCCGTAAGCATTCAATCTTTGTCTTCAAGTCACTCCATGCACTAAAGCACGTCGCTCTCACAGGTGGAAACCGGCTCGAATATCTACCACCCCAGATATACCGACTTCGCAGGCTCGAAGTCCTCAACGTCTCCAACAACCTACTCCGCTATCTTCCCGCCGAACTCTGCGAACTCCCGCTCAAGCAGCTCTACGTCCATCCGAACGACCGGCTCCTCCCCGATCCATCTACGGGAACATCACATACGGGCTCGTCACCCTGGAGAGCGGTCAACCCCGTCGAAGTATCGGACAGCGTACCGTCGCTGCGCGAGATCATACTGCGGTATCTGCTGTCGCCCCATGTACCGGAGTCGACATCGCCGGAATCGCCGCACGTTCTCCTTACGCCACACAACTTGCCGATGCGAGTGCGCGTGCCAGCGAAAGGCTACACTAGCAACCTCGTCGCACACATACAACTACCTCTATCAATGTCTGACTTGCCGCCGATTGCCCGTGTCCTTGAGGAGCATCAACCTGGGGTTATTGCACGCTCGTCTTACTCGCGCGTCTCCACCGCGGCGTCGGTCAGCACAGCCGGCGGCACCGCTCAAGAGGAACTGCCCAAAGGCGTCAGTCATTGCATGTCACCAATGCATGGGGATAGCGCCGGAGGAATGGGCCCGCCGTACGTTGAGCATGTCGAGCAGCGCGTTCTTTGGGCGCAAAACATCTGCGGGATTGACGTTGGGACGACGTCGGGTGGTGGGGTACCATTGCTATGGAGGGGGTGCGAGCGAGGGTGTTTGACGTTTCTCGACTTTACGTCTATCAGCGATGATGAGTGAATGCAACGAACAGGTGGTGAACTGTGGTAACCCCGTGTGCGCGTCGAAGGGGACGGGCATGCCTCATGAAAGGAATGTCAAGTCTTCTAGAGATTTCTCTAGTGTGTTGTGCGTGGTCCAGACGTGCATTCGGTGAGAGATAGAAGCGTGGGGCACCATGCCGCAAGCTCATGGTCTGTAGTGTTAAGACGGATTTGGGACAAGAAGTCCTATAGCTGCAGTCATATGCGCGCGATTCTCTAACTTTGAAACGTCTTGAGCTTCGACTCAAGGTCTCGAGACGGGTAGTCGTATCCATATGCCCAGATGTGTCAGAAGGATGCCGCGGTGTGATCGCGGAGTGAGAATAGACTCTGGCGATTTGCACAGGCAATGCCGATCTTTCTAATGGTATATATACCTCTTGGACTACCGATAGGCATGTCGACTCCTCTCACCCCATCTCTTGACTTTGATCATACGCCCAGAACCATGTCCGACTCCGACGCTGGCAGAATGAATGACGACACCGTCCCGAAGGATGACACCGTCGACGAAGGCGCTGTTGTAAACACGCCCCGCGATGAGGCAGATCTGCGTACGTCTCGATGATTGTCTCCAAGCAATCACCCTGATAACGATATGCAGTGATCCCGGATTCCATATCTATGTTCGACATGGAGCTGTCCAGCCTCGGTGACACCCGCCGAGCTCCTCCAGGTCTGTGTTCATCGCTTTGAGGCTCATGCCTGTCATTGAATAGACACGGACAGATCACTATCAGCATTGGCTCAACCGCGTTTTGAGGATGTCATACAGCGAGAACGCTTTCCAGGTCGTAAACGTTAATCCTTGGAGACAACCTACCCACGAGCACGACCATTTCTTCGAAGTGCAGCACATCGTGACGTTTATACTCACTCGACATGACTATCAATGGCTCTCGTTCCCCATCGGCCTTTTCGTTGATCTTGTAAGCATATTCTACGCATCCTTTTGCGACGACTGACCAAGATCGTCCAGGCTCTTCACGTGAATGATGCCCGAAACTTGTTTCTCGTCAATAGAATCTACAATCGAGCGAAGAAGTCGATTCCGCTGGCCGACTATCGCGTCAGCAGGTTTATCGCGAGTTATCTTGCGGCTACTGTCGACCCGAGGGGGAACCTCCGGTTCGGGACTGTCGAGCGATCTGTGCGCGACCTTGTTCGCACAATGCGGAGCAGAACGAACATCTATAACAGGCTCACGAAATCCACTGGAGACATGATAGCAGCTATCATGCGGTGGCAGGATTAACGGCTCGTGCCATCCTTCTGATCTATTACAAGAACTTGTACTTGTACCTGTAACGTTGCGAATAGAACGGTCTGGTATTGCTTGGCTGTGACCCCGATCTCTTGCCTCCTCAATTAGAAACTTTTCATTTCTACAGGAATGAAACACCCGTCTGTAAGAAGAAACACTCGTGTCCGCCCACATTCGTAAACCTTATCAACTTGAAGCGACAGGAATATACATGAGCGGTAGTTTCAGATTGTACTGTGGCCAGCAGAAGCACCGAGTCATGCTCGAGTTCACGACTGCCCGGGCCCGCCATACTACTGCGCCTGCGCGCGTGAACCACGAGTACGCGCTGTTCTCATTCATAACCCAAGTGCCGCAAAGAACTCTCAGAGGCGCCGCCGTAGACCTGTATAGAGCAACCAAGATATGAGTGGTCGCGGCCGAAAGCAACCTCTTGAGCATGATTCCAAACAGCACGACACAGACCGGAACTAGCGGGCCGGTCAACCTTAACCTGATTGCAAGACAAGAGCTAGCGCGTCTGTTTTCCACTCGTCTCGCGCGTCCACAACCTCTTGCATGAATCTTGGCACTCGACTGGGGCCGTACCTGCGCAAAGCACTCGATAGTACCTTCACTATGTCGCGACGTTCTGCTTCACCACTTCCCGAGGCTCGCGAGGCTAAACGTCGCAAGATCGCCTCGTCACTTACGCCGGAGGATTACAAGAACGGGGTCGTGCTCGCACCCATGGTCCGTTCGAGCGCACGTACGCTTGCGTCTCTCTCTACATATGGGCCAGGTACTTACTGGGTCTCATACAGTACCAACTCGCCTGATGTCGCTCAAATACGGAGCCAAACTAGTATGGGGACCCGAAATAGTGGATAGGGCCATCCTCCACGCCAAACGCGTAGTGAACCGTATGTCTGATCAATATTACCTTTCCATAAGTACTGAAGCTACCACTCAGCTGATACTGGTACCATATCCTACATGGGTCAACAGAGCAAGGCCATGTTCACGTGTCATCCCCTCGAAAAGCCGTACTTCATCTTCCAAATCGGGTCTGCAAACCCCGATTTGGCCGTCCAAGCCGCCAAGGTTGTCATGGAAGACGTCGCTGGCGTTGAGTTGAATTGTGGCTGCCCGAAGCCCTTCTCGACCTCCGGCGGCATGGGCGCTGCACTCCTGTCGACTCCGGATCTTCTCTGCTCCATCCTCTCTGCTCTGCGCCGCGAGCTTCCAGAACACATCAGCGTCTCCGCCAAAATCCGACTCCTTTCGACGCAAGAAGAGACCAAGGCTTTGGTCGCGCGTATTCTGGACACAGGCGTCAACTGCCTGACAATCCATTGCCGCACCCGCAGCATGCGCAAAACCGAGCCAGCACGGATCGAGAGGATGCGGGAAATCGTCGAGTACATAAGGTCGCTGGGGAAGGATGTGGCGGTTCTGCAGAACGGAGATTGTGTCGGATACGAAGATGCGCGAAAGCTCCGCACTATAACTGGTATGTCAGTCTCCTTCACGTCTGACAGCGTACTGAATCTGGGGTAGGCGCGGATTCTTGCATGATTGCGACGGCTGCAGAGTCCAATCCTTCTGTATTCTCACCCACTCCCCTCGCCGACCTCGAGCAGACCCTCATTCCATCGTATCTGCGGCTGGTACGTGTCGTTGTCCTCGATAGCGTTTGCTATGTTGACGGTCTCTGTAGTCAAAATACTTGGACAATCACTGGGCTTCAACGAAGTTCTCAGTCCAGCAGTTCAAGGGAACGCACAAAGTGACGACGAAAGCTAGCTCCAGGCAAGTGCGGGAGGCTATTATCAAGGCGAAGAAGTACGAGGACGTCGAGTCTATCGTCGGGTTGTGGTCGGGCGAGGAAGAACTCCGCGCGATCGAACGCGTCATACTTGAACGTGAACGCAATGGCCCGCCGCTATGCATGCCTCTGCCGGTTGAGGAGCTGTCGCCCGCGGAGCAAGCCCTGGTCGCGCCTCCACCACATAAGGAGACGACGAATGCGTCGGTCGCGTCTACGCCACCAACCGAAACTCTCCTTGACGAAGACGACGCATCCTCAACGTCGACATCTACCGCAGTGGGTACAGAACCTAATACTGCGAAGGATGGAGTGGCCCTTGAGAGCGGTCTAGGTGTATTGCTCCCGGCTGTGAAGTAGCTGGACGTTTCTTCTCATACAGTCCCTTGTTATCTTCTACTGCTATTCATCGCTTTGTTGGGAACGACGTCATCTTGTTGAGGGTGGTCATCGACATCCGAGCCAGACTGGACTTTTCTCGGGATATCTTGTGCGGCCCCGGCGTGAAGCACGACGACCGGCTGAAGACCTTTGCGCTCGTCGGATACGAATACGTCTTTCGATACGGCTATGAGAGCCCGTGATGCTTTCCGGTATCTTTGTTATTTATTCCGGATCGCACGGAGAAGCCCTTCTGACTTCGCTGCACATGATATCCTCAGACATGAGCGAACGATCTGAAGGAGTTGTAGAGTTTGAGGCGCGATTGATCCGGTATCGGGCGCGACATCGCGTCATGGCCGTCTCCCGCGCTCAACCTGTCGACTTGCGGGTTTGCGCCTAGCCTCGCATATATGGTAAGAAGAACAGTGGTATCGTACGCGTATCCTTCACTCATCCGCCGCTAGCCATGTTCGGTCCGATACCCGGAAAAGTTGCGTATGCTGGACCCTTACGCGCGTTCGAAACATATTTCTACGCGCTGGGCGCTACGTACGGCCCTCAGGGTGCGACCGGCCCGTTTTTCTGTGCTTCTGAACGCGGTCAGATGATGGTCTGCGAGCCCACGGAACAGCAAACGCGCTCTGCACATGCTGATCGCCTCTGACGACTTCACACTCCTTTTGCTAACGGTTGACCGTGCCTGGCTTCTGCTTCGCTGCGCACATAAACTTGTCCGCGCGCTACCCCGTGGGGCGATTCGCATAAGAACTTGAGAAGCACCGAGGACAGGACCCTTTGCCCACCTTCTGTGGTACGGCTTAGCTTGCTGCACGAACCCTCTACGACTCTCGACGCGCAGAGGAGCGGTGCACCATGGCGGTCCCTACGAACACTCGCGCTATCCTATTAGCCGTCTTCATCGCCTTTGGCGGTTTCTTGTTTGGCTACGATATCGGTGTCATTTCAGTGAGCCTTCTGCAGTCTTCTATGCGAGGAAGGTTGCTGAATCCTCCCAGGGATGTCTTATCATGGACGACTTCGTCGAGAGGTTCGGCGAGCCGGACGGTAGCGGCGGCTTCGTCTTGTCGAGCTCACGGCAATCTATCATCACGTCACTGCTCTCTGCTGGTACATTTGTGTATGTCCGTTCAACATATATCTGTGAGTACAGCCCCTGACTGGAAGTCGGTTCTCAGCGGAGCCCTCGCGCAAGCTCTGACGGCCGACCGCTTCGGTCGCAAATGGTCTATTTTCATTTGGGCGGTGCGTATTACTGTATGCACGAATGCAATTCACCCTGCTTATGGTTCACAGGCTGTCTTCACCGTCGGTACTGTCATTCAGACAGCTACCATTGACTCCATTGCCCAGATCAGTGTTGGACGTTTCGTCGCTGGTCTTGGTGTGGGTGCCATGTCCGCTATTGTGCCGCTCTACAATGGTGCGTCCCTAGAGAACGCGCATGAGCACCGTGTACTCATGAACTTGACAGGCGAAACTTCACCTAAGGCGTTGCGCGGCACTCTGCTCGTGCTCTACCAGCTTCAGATCATCATCGGCATTTTCCTGTCCTACATCATCGACCTGGGCACGCACGCCATCCCGAACTCTGCCAGCTGGAAGATTCCCGTCGGTCTTCAGATGCTCTGGGGTCTCATCCTCATGAGCGGCATCTTCTTCCTTCCCGAGTCCCCTCGTCGCCTCATCTACATCGGCAGGGAGGACGAGGCCCGCGCGGTTATCGCCGAGCTTAACTCCGTCGAACTCACCCACGAGATCGTGGAATCAGAGCTCGCCGATCTTAAGCTCGGTATCGCGGCTGAGAATGAGGGCGGCAAGGCGACCTGGATGGAGTGCTTCTCGACTCGCAATGTGCTCTGGAAGCGTACTTTGAACGGAATGATGTTGCAGTTCATCCAGCAGCTGAACGGCCAGAACTTCTACTGTGCGTGGGACTCACACTATAACCTGTCCGTTAGTGCTAATGCTTGCGATATAGACTACTACGGAGACACGTTCTTCCAGTCCGCCGGTACCGAGCTCTCCCCATACTCTATCCAAGCCATTCTGGGTGGAGTGTCCGTCGTTGGAACCGTCGTGCGTGTTACTTCAACTAACGCTGTCGCACCAACTAACTAATTGACCGCCATAGCCTGCGCTTTATCTCATTGAGAAGTGGGGTCGTCGCCGGTCTCTCCTTGTGGGTGCCGTTCTCGAGGCCATTTGCGCTCTCATCGCCGGACTCGTCGGACACTACACGCTTGCGGCAACTGGTACCCTCCCTGAGAACCTCACGAAGCGCAACAAGCAGGGTGGTGACGTCCTTATTGCGTTCGCGGTGTTGCAGGGTGAGTCTGAGGACGCCCTGCTCTGAATTGAACCCAACTGACGCATCTTCCAGTCATGGCCTTCAGCATGTTCTGGGGTCCCACGCCATGGGTATACCTCGGCGAAAGCTTCCCTCTCCGTGTGCGCCCGAAAGCGATTGCTCTCGGTTCTGCGACTAGTACGTGGCCTACTTCTGTGAACGCGCTATCGAGCTGACGATGAGCATAGACTGGATCTGGAACTTCCTATTGTCCTTCTTTGCACCTCGTATCGCCGAGGACATCGGTCCTTTGATCCTGTTGATTTTCTTCGGCATGCTGATCTTCGGCTTTGTCTACGTCTGGTGCGTACGACGAAGGATTCCCCTACACTTGATGCTGACTTCATTCATAGGCTCTTTATCCCCGAGACCAAAAATTTGAGTCTCGAGGAAGTCGATGAGCTCTACCGTGAAGGTGTCAAGCCATGGCGCTCGGTCGGCTGGAAGCCGCATCTGAAGGAGGAGTACAACAAGCGCCACGCAGACGAGGTTTACGAAGATGTCCCCAAAAAGGAAGAGTCTTGATCTTGTGTGCTACGTATTGTACGACTTGCATGTACAGAAACGCTATGCTTTGCTTGGGTTACGATTGATTCAATGATATCCTGTGGTTTGAATCCTGCCGGGCAACGTGGTGAATGTGGTACTTGGGCGCGGAATCTTTTTGCAGCACCAATAATTTTGAGTCAGGTATTTGAGCCACGCTGACGGCTTCAGAAACGAGACCGCAGGAACGAGTACGCCTAAATACGGCGTTCTACCGCGAAACCCCTCGTTCAACTTCAAGCGCGTGGAAACGCGTTCATCACGTGATCGCGTTCTTCACACGATTATACAAGTCCGTCTGTGCTCGCACTCAACCCATCCCCGCTCAACCCATTCCCGCTCGACCCATTTTCGCGCTCGTACTTCTGGCCGGTCCATCCTACTCGTTTCTCACGAGGTCGTGCTATAACATTCCAACTGTGACGCATCATGCTCCGAGTAGCGCCCTTACACGAGATGAAACGTGTCATTGGGGTCACTAGTAGTACAAGTTGAACATTGACAGTACTAGTACAGAAAGCGATACAAAGCCTGGTGATAGCGTGCAACAGAATGCGGAATCTTGGCTCAAGCCTTGTCCTTCTCTGTCTGGTAGTCCTCGCGTACGTCCGTAGGGTGACGCGCCTCGTACTCCTCCGACAGATGCGGCTTCCAGCTCGAAGAGCGCCATGGCTTGACGTTCTCCCGGTACATTTGATCGATAGACTCTAGCGCCAGGCCACGTGACTCGGGGATCATGAAGTACACCTGTATATGATGTGAGAAAGAGGGCTTGAAGATTAGCAGAGGATACGCACGTAGATGAAGCCGAACACGAGGACGCCGAAGAACACGAGGAGAATCAAGGTATCGATGTCTTCCGTGATGAGCGGACTGAAGTACGAGAGCATGAAGTTCCAGAACCAATCTATACAACTAGATGAGCACGCATTCAGGAGTAGATGAAGGGACTAGGCGCACTCGTAGCGGAGCCGAGAGCAATTGACTTTGAGCGCACGCGAAGAGGGAAGCTCTCGCCCAAGTACACCCACGGCAGAGGACCCCAGAAGCAGCTGTAGAAGAAGACTAAGATACTGTCAGTGCACCGTACGAACTCAATACACAAACGTGACCCACCTTGAAGCACTGCGAAGACGATGAGAATATCACCGCCAGCCTTGTTGCGAGGTGTCAAGTCAGCGGCCGCGACATTGCCCTTTGCCAGCATGTAGTGTCCCGCGAGTCCGGCGACTAGAGCGCAGACTGCTTCAGCGGCAGCACCGATCAAGAGACCTTTCCTACGACCGAGCCTCTCGATGGCTACAAAAGCAGGGAAGGTGCCTGCGACGCTGACCGCGCCGAGCACGACTTGGATCACATACGGCGACATGGTTGTTCCGGCAGCCTTGAAGAAGGTATCGCCGTAGTAGTCTGCAACGACACTCAGTACGCAGATACAAAGGAGGTGAATGGGCACGGACAGTAGAAGTTCTGGCCGTTGAGCTGCTGGATAAACTGGAGCATCATGCCGTTCAAAGTACGCTTCCACAACTGGTTGCGCCTCGAGAAGCACTCCAACCATCCAACCTTTCCGCCCTCGTTCTCCGCGGCAATACCCATCTTGAGCGTCGAGATCTCTTCTTCGACAATAGGGTCGTCGAGTGGGACGTTGTTGAGGTTGGCGATGTTCTTGCGTGCGACGTCTTCCTTGCCGTGGTAGATGAGGTGGCGAGGCGACTCGGGCAAGAAGAGGATACCGCTCATGAGGATGAGACCCCAGAGCATCTGGAGACCGACAGGGATCTTCCAGCTGGCAGAGCTCGGGATGTTGTGCGTGGCGAGGTCAATGATGTAAGAGAGCATGATGCTGAAAGAAACGCAATCAGCAGACTGTCGATGTTGAGGATCAGAGAGTGCGTACCCCATGATGACCTGAAACTGGTACAAGACGAGCAAAACGCCGCGTAGCTTTTTCGGTGCGGTCTCGCCGTTGTAAAGCGGTACGATAGCTGACATCGCGCCAACCCCGAGACCAGCAATGAAGCGGCCAACGACAAGTTGGGCGAGCGAAGTGAGAGCTGCCGTCTGGATGAGTGTGCCGACGGTGAAGATCGCCGACCAGATGAAGATCGAGGGCTTGCGGCCAAAGCGGTCAGCCGTCAAAGCTTGACCAAGAGCACCGCTAGGATATATTCAGTCTGAGGGTCGCTGAACAGAGCGTGGTAAAACATACACGAAGGTTCCCGCTGATAGTAATGAAGTGATGATGGATTGTCGTGAAGATGAAAGCTCGAAGCCTCCGCTGCCATTCGGCTCGCCAAACCTCTCGACGAAGTCTGGCATAATCAGACATCCCTGCGCTACATAAGCATGGACTCCAACGCAGAAGCAAGGACCGACGTACGGAGATAACACCGATATCATAGCCAAAGAGAAAGCCGCCTATATGCGCACACAAGGTCAGCAGACCATAAGTCGCCACAAGTGGGAATGCACCAACCAAAGGCGATGAAAACGGATAACAAGATCGCCCTCGCATTCGTCGTGAGCGCCATCTCGAAGAGGTTTCCGAGGGTATGGGATGAGGTGCGGGGAACTTGAAGAGACGTTGCTCAAGTCAAATCCGGGGAAGCACCCCGCACACATTTATAGCCGTCCCCTCCCCCGGCTTCCCCCACAGCGGCATGACGGAGAAGTTGCGCTGTGCATACGCGTATGACGGAAAAAGACTTACAGAGAGGTACAACGGACGTGGGACTTTGGTGGGGCTCCACAACCCTCGTTTGTCGTTCTATGAATGCCGGGCCGCCGGGTCCGGGGATTCCGTTCCTGATGGTGGGATGCAGGTAGCGTTGCAAACGTACTCGGCTTGTGCGCCGTTGTATTGAAGCGATATCGTTGGGCAAGGGCTTTCAGACGCGTCGAAGAGTCTGCATGGAAGAAGATGCGCACAAGATTGCAGAGAATACAGCAAAATACAACGCGGCTGCTCGTTCACCGAATATGCCGCCGAGGCAGGTTCGCGAGACCGCAACGGGTGAGCCTGAAGAGCATGCGCTACGACTCCACCGCAACATGTAGACCAACGACAAACTCAACGACGTATCCACCGACGAACATTGTTCCGGACAGGATGAAAGGTTCAGGCCAGAGGTCCGAGCATGAGAGAACGAGAGAAAAGAGAGGTCGCGCAGACGTCACTTCGAGGGCCGGGGACGGTTGATCTGCAGGCACGCTCCCGGTTTCTCCGGGCCGCGGGCGCCGAGCTTCGGCATCTTCGAACTTCTCCGGGGCCCCACTGTGGCACGTCCCCGCGATTCCTTGCTGCGAGGTCGAGGAGAAGCACACCGAGGCCTTTCGAGGCCGGCGATAATACAGTTGCTTGTCAGCATCCAGTGCGAGCTTCGGACAGGGTCTCGTAGACAGACAGTGTTCATCGATCTTCGAGGTATCCTGGTCTGGCAATAGTCACTCGAGGGTGGAGGCGAGATAGGTAGCATATCTCCGGCACATGGACCGGCTCTATCGTGCGCCTCATGTTGAAGGGAGGCGTAAGCCGGGTGAGTACCAGCGGGCGACAAATGAGCAAAAACATCCATCAACGCTGATACAAAGATCATGTGTACCCCTGCTCGACCGCCTCTGACGTGCCATTCGACAAGCCTGCATCAGGCCGCAGCCACCCCTCCCAATCATCCAGCGCTTTCGAAAGTGCCTCATCCATCCCCGCATTTCCAACCGGCGCGCCATAAACACCCTCCAACAACGCCCTCCTCACAAACGGCACAAAAACCTTTACGAACGTCTCCCCCGCGACCTTGACAACCTCCCCATCTTCACCTTCTCCAAGACCCTTCGCATACTCCAGTAGCGTGACAGCGGAATTTGCTAACGCTGTATCGAGCGTGCGGCTCAGTTCAGAGAGAATGGATTTGGGTGCGAGTAAGCGGAGGGAGTTGAGCGTTGTAAGGAGCGCGTTGGCATAGTTCGCCAGAGGCGGGTATGATGCAAGTACGGCGGGCGGTATATGTGGTGGAGAGTCCAGTACGTTTGTGGGAGGATGCACCGGTGCGCCGGTGCCGGAGAATAGCCATGATCGTGCCGGCCTGCTCTTTTTCGTCTCGAGCGTCCGGGTGAACGCATCTTTCGCAGCAGCGACATCGGCAGACACTGTACGCGCGACAGCACCAGCAAATAGCGGAGGGAGCAAAGATCGAAAGTCCAGTCCGACGCGTGCAAAGGACGTAGCGCAGTACGTCAACTGCGTAAGCAACGAGTTGAGCGCCGTAGGGTCCGCGATCTTCGGTAACGCCTCTTCGAGTTCCTCTAGCAATCGACCGAGCAGATGCGCTGTCGCGGCGGGTAGAAGCGTTTGGAGGGATTCGGCTTCGGAGGGGACGGCGCGGTCGAGGAATATGGCGGTGTACTGCGTGACGATGTCGTGTACGCCTTCTCGCCAGGCGTCGACGTAGCGCTTCATATATCGCACCCATGCCTCTTTCTCCCTATCCTTATCAACACCCTTCTTCTCCAGCGCCACCGCTTGTAGAGCTAGCTCGAGCGTTTCAAGCCTTCCTGTGAGAAATGCGAGCGCCAGTTCATGTTCGGGCAAGACTTGCATGCGTCGGAGGAAGTTGACGGCTTTGAATAGTTGCGGTAGTTTAGCGGGTTCGCGGAGCATGGAGAGGAGTTGTGCGAGTAGGGTGCGAACTGCTGCGTCGACCTCGAGCCGGACATCTTTGATGACGGACACAGTTGGAAAGCGGGTTGCGAGTGTTGCGGCGTGTGCGGCGAGATCGAGTGCTTCTTGGAAGTACCCGTTCCGCACGCATGCTTCGGCTAAGAGCGGGATCTCGAGGACGTCTTGAAGTTTGGCGCTGTGTTCAAGCACGAGGGCCGCGCGCCGGCGTTCGGCTTGTACGCCTGTGATCTCTGCCGACAGAGAGCGCGCAGAGGTTTCGAGGTCAGGCAGGTCTTGCAGCAGTCCGTCGAGAGTGCCGGAAAAGGATGATAATGTGGATGTCAGGTCTGATGTTGTGGTATGCAGCGAGAGAAATGTCGGATATGATGAGGTGCAGAGGTTGGTCAAGGCGTTGGTGAGTTGGGATGAGGTCGAGGAGAGGTTCGTGGGTTCAGAGAGCAGTTGGTTCAGTGGGTAGGTCGTCAGTTGGTCTAGGTATTGCGCTGCTTTTGGTGTGGATAGGTCGATCTTGGAGGATTCGCCGTTCTTGAGGACTTCGGCTAGGGAGGACATTGTGGCACCTGTTGATGGCTGTAGGGAAGCAAACGCATGTTACTCGAACAGGTCATATAGTTGACAGCAGGAACGCACGATGATGTCGTCGAATATCTAGCTTGGGCGTAGGATTATTACATGCACGCTTGTACCAAAGTAGCAATGACGTACAATACAGCTATCCAACTATGGGAAGTACGTGACCGTCGCGGCCAAGACGCGTCAACGGACGCGACGCGCTTTCGGACTCTTCGGCTTGTTCCACGAGCATGCTTCGGACATACACCCAACTCGCCCGTCGCTCTGCCGTTTTTGCTATCAACACTCGTCTTGTACCCGTTCAACGTGTCAGAATGTCCACAGTCATCACGCACTCGTCCATCACCAAGATCTCGACTTCCGGTATGTGCGCATCATCGTGTGATGGGACGTGCGCTGATAGGCTGCGTATAGAGGCGCCAGCGGCCATTGGGCCTTACAGCCAGGCTGTAACACTTGACGGACTTGTGTTTGTATCGGGATGCTTGGGCTTTGATCCCAAGACTATGAACTTCGTCGAGGGCGGTGTAGAGGCTCAAGCGCGCCAGGCGCTCACGAACCTCAAGGCCGTCCTCGAAGCGGCTGGAAGTGAGATGGGCAAGGTCGCGAAAGTGACAGTACGTTGACCCTATTCTACTCTGGGACAGGCCGATCTCAACGTGTTTGCAGGTGTTCATGAAGGATATGAACGACTTCGTGGCTGTTAACAAGATCTACGAGGCCGTCTTCGGAGAGCACAAGCCTGCACGGTACGTTCTTGCCTTCCGTGGCTACGGCGCCTTTCTCATGATGCACAGGTCTGCTGTCGAGGTTGCGCGTCTGCCAAAAGACGCGCTGGTGGAGATTGAGGCTATCGCCAAGTCGTGAGTCGCATCCCTCCTCCGCGCTCGGACTAGCCTCACTCAACGTCGCAAGGGCTTGATCTCAGAACTGATATTGAGAGAAGTAAACTGTAATAGTAAACATGCTGCGCACAGGTACATGAGTTAGCAAGCTGCAATGCTACATCTATATCCCACACCGGCCGTGCGCGCGTCTTCATTCAACCATCTCTCGGCGCGCGCTTGTCTCAGTCAGCTGCTTCCGGAACCTGGAGATGCGGACGGCCCTCCCTGTGCGTGTAAACCATCTGAGCCTATCGTCCGCATATTCAGAGCGAGAGTACAACGCTACAACAGCGCGCTCGAGTATTATGAGCGTCCATTACCGTCCACGTACTCGGAAAGTCTGATTGACATCCGTGACGGCGCAGCGAGGGACGTAGACGGAATCAACGGGCTCGAGCTCCCCGATGCGTCATCTCATCGAGTTGGCTTTTCACGCCCGTCGCGTCCGTGATACACCCTACTCGCCTCACGCCCCGACCGAGCAAGCAGAGACGCCGCAGACCATACCGTACCCCATGCCCTCGACGGACGCTTCGACCGTCCGCGGCTTGATCTCAGCCTATCTCGGCATCTCTATCCTCTTACTCTTATCCGCCATCATCCGCCGCCCCATACGCGGTCATGCCGCCTCATTCGCATGTCCTCGTATCTCCTTCAATGCTCGAACTCTATCCATATCAACGATCCGACTTGTGATGCCCAGTATGGTCGTCTCTCCGCGCGCAACGGCCCCGGCACCGAGAAATGTGACGCTATTGGTGGGAGAGTGTAGGATTGTGTTCGGGAGGTCGAAGGTGGACGTTGAGGTGGTGGATCTGAGCGTGACGTCACCGCTCGCTTCGTTCACTCTGCCGCGTCTATCCGTCGACTGCCCGATCTTGCCTTTCTTGCCGTTCACCTTTTCGGGTTCAAAGGCCTCTACGACATGCAATGCGGAATCGAGGATACGCGTGACGTTCGATCATCTGCGTATACGCGTGTTTTCAAGTAAACGCGTGCCGTACTTTATACGGGTCATTCGCGCGGCCGTTATGAGGACGATGCTGTTCGGCACCATCGCACGAGCCGACTCTGCGCGTATTGACATCGTGTTCGGGCCGAAACTCGCGCCGTCCATGGACCCTGTTGTGGAGGGAGAGGAGGCGGAGAGGAAGGAACTGGATGTCGACGAGGAGAGTGCAGTCTACCATAGTTCTTCGTCGGACGAGTCGGCCCGAGAGAGCGGAGGAGACGCGCATCTTGAGCTGGAGGACGAACCGTCGGATGATGATGCAACTTCGGAGGAGGACGAGCGCCCTGCGCGCAGCGACATCAGTCTCACGAGCGCCTTACCGATCCTCAAGCCCGTGAAGAAGCTCAAGGAGAAGTTCCGGCGCAAGGGAAAGTCGTCCAGTCGGTTAGAGGACGAGCACGAGTTGCACAAGGTCAAGCTTCCCCGTACTAGCGATGCCGACGGGAATTCTACTGCGTCCACGACTTCATCGGAGAAACAACCCATCTCGAGCGCCAAAGCCCAGAATCAGCCGCCAAACGCCGCCTACAGTGCAGATACGACTGAACCGCAATGGGCTGCGACCAACGACGATCTGCTGGTTACCAAGACAGGCGAGAATTTGGTGCTACATGACCACTCGGACAGGCTATATACGTTCCGCTCTCTATCTGCAGGACTGAGAAGAATGTGGAGTCCCGAGATTTGGGTCGTCGACGAAGACGGTGGGGAGAGTATACGCGGGAGTGGCGTGTTTGAGATGGAGGTTGAGGATGCGAGGTGGATACGCGCGAGAGAGTATGAGGGTGTGAGGTGGGCATGTGAGAGACCTGATCTGGGGTACGTTGATCTCGCCTTCATGCTCCGAATACCGCTGACTTTGAGTTGCAGCGTGGAACCCAACTTCGACGTCGGCCTTCCTCCCCCATCATACAGCCAGCTGCTGCGGGACCCCATGAGCGCCGTTGACATACGCTTCATAAGCTCCCAAGTCTCGTTTGACAAGTTCAGACTACGCGACGCCGAGTTCTCGAAATACGCGTTCGAAACTGCCTTGCATTTGTTTGGGCTTTCGGTTGGTCCAGAAGATGACGATACGCAATGATAAATGACTGAATAGATAACCATTACTCATCATGGACATTATTCGCTCGCGGCATTCTATCTGTAGCATTAAGTTTTTGTACTCGCATCATACGCATCCTAGACACGCATTCCCCATGTACGAGTACACCCTATTATTATCCCACGTGATCGTGTTTTCCCATCGAACGCGTCTCATGTGCTGTGTGGCGCGACGCGTCTTGCGTTCGACCATCACCTCGTCGCGTTAGCTCACAGCCCTCCCAACTCACGCTCTACGCATCTAAGCCATGTCTGATTTTGACGACGACGAAGACATGGCTCGGTAAGCTGGCATCCACTAGTCTCAAGATACCGCCGTATTGACTCACGCTATCTTCTCAGCGCCATCGCAGCGAGCCTCGCAGACTCTCAGCAGCCCCGAGCGCCAGCGCCAGCCGCTGACGACTACGAGGCACAATATGAAGCTGATCTACAAGCCGCTCTTGCCGCGTCACAAGCGGTAGCTGAGCCCCACCGCTCGCCCAGCCCCGCCACATCAGTCGCATCCTCAATTGAAGACTCGCCACCACGTCCGAACGGCCTTCTACCTACAAGCTCGGGCTCACGTGCGCCTAAACCCAAATCCGCACCAGACCCGGCAGCTGGATCGAGCTCGGGAGGTGACGAACTTGCTGCATTCCGTGCGGACCGCAAACGGCTAGAGGAAGAGAGGCTGGCGCGTCAGAAGCGAAGACGCGACGAGTCGGGACAGCCCGAAGAAATCGAGGATCGCAGGCCTGCGAAACGTGCGACACCCTCTAGCGCCTCTGCTTCATCCTCCTCGTCACCTCGTGTACCTTTGAAGCCTACTCCTGGACCGTCGCGACCCAATACGGAGTTGTTCTGGGATGGAGTTGTCAGGCAGACTGCGAATATGCATGTTGGGCCTGGGAAGAATGGAGAGAACGGGAAGCCTGTGTTCAGACTAAGCGAGATCATCGGAGATGTACGTCTCATTCTTGCAACCTCTTATCTGCGCTACGCCACATACTGAATTCATTCATACTTGACAGAAATCCCAGGTCAAGTTCGCCATCATTTCGTCCTATGCCGTCCAAGTATCCTGGATCTACAACTTCTTTTCACCCACGACGCCGGTCATCTTAGTCGCGCAACCAGACCAATCTGAAGCCAGTTCTGCGACTGTCAAGTTGAATATACTGCCGCACTGGGTCAGGGTAACGCCATACTTCAGAGGTGGGTATGGGGTTATGCACGTGAAGGTGACTTGTTTTCTTCATGGGTGGGATGACACCATGACTGATGAATGCTGTTGCAGTTCTTGCTGGTGAGTGTAGCAAACGATCTGAGAGATGGTATCATAGTCTGAACCATATGCGCCACAGCTATTCTACGCCGATCGCCTGCGGATCGCTATACCCACCGCGAACTTCGTGGACTACGACTGGATGCACATCGAGAATGTACGCATATACGTAGTCCCTCTGCGTATACTATGTCCTAACGCGTCACGTAGACCGTGTTCGTTCAGGATGTGCCTTTACGAGCGTCACCTATAGCACACAGTGCGAAGCTCGATGACTTCCCGACGACGCTCGAACACGTTCTTCGTGGTTTGAACGTCAGCGCTGGAATACGTACACACGTCATGAACGACGTTCGTCTTCGCTTGTTGCATCATCACTTTACAAGACCATTGACTCCTATCCCTCACCTGTAGCACCCCGAGATCCCCCTCCAGAACGCCGACCCAGGTAGCATACGCCGGTACTGGGATTTCTCGCGCGTGACTGCGGCTCTTATACCCAGTCTGCACGGCAAACACGAAGGATGGGAGAAGGTCATCAAGACAGGACATACGGCACTCATGAGGGCCGTCCGTCGGTTGGCGGGTATTGATCCCAAGGATAAGCGCGGGCGGAAGGGGAGCATTGAGTACCAGGTTAGTCCCACCCAATCTCGTTTGCTATACCCTCTGTGGCTGAGGCGGTACGCACAGGGCTCATCGCTGGGGAAGTACAGCTCTAAATGGCTTAACGAGTTCTATGGCTCGGCGATGGGCCAAAGTCCCGAGACATGGCTTGACGATCCCGTATCGCGTCGCTCAAAGCTGCCAGTACCGGATATCAAGATCGTGTTTCCGACGCATGACTATGTCAAGAACAGCAAGCTCGGCGAACCCGTACGCCATCATTTTCCGGTGTACCATTGACTGAGGGCTGATTGTCGCGTCCAGGGTGGAGGCACGATCTTCTGTAAGAAAGCCTTCTGGGAAGGCTCCACGTTCCCGCGCCAGATCTTCTACGAATCACGGTCGACGCGCGGTCCGGTGCTCTTACACTCGAAGATGGCCATCGCGTTCTTCTCCGATATTCCCTCGTCGGCAAGCAATGCAGATGATAGCGACGACGAGCTGATTGTACTCGATTCGGACGGGAGAGCGCCTGCCAAAGCTGGCCAGGCTGAAGGATGGATGTATGTGGGGTCGCATAACTTTACGCCGAGTGCGTGGGGGACGTTGAGTGGGTCGGCGTTTACGCCTATCATCAATGTACCGTTCTTCCTCTCCCCTCAGGCACTTCGTACTCACAGGAAGTCTTTGCATAGGTAACAAATTACGAGCTTGGAGTAGTTCTGCCGCTGAGAAGCAGGGAGGAGGCGGACGCTTACGCCTGTTATGAGAGGCCGCCGAAGAAATACGCGAATGGAGTATTGCCATGGGTACGTCCCAGTTTATACTACCTATGAGAAATGTTCACTGACGTGCCGGGTAGATGCAAGAGAACAGTATCCATCATCAAATCGGCTAGAGTGGGATGCTGCACTTTGGCGACCAGAGTCTAGATCCTGGGAACATGTGCACGTTAGGGTTAGGGTTGGAGTGACTGGTTTCTCTCAACAAGAATCACGATGTTGACAGATCTATTGCGAAGCACCCTTGGGCGCTCCACGCAGAGGCACCATACAGCATGCTATCATCTATACATGGGCGAATGCGAGATCGGCAAGGATTACACAACCTTCGTGTTTACTGGAGAGGGACTGAGTGCTGCGTCTTTAGCACAGTCCATATCGCGCTTTCTCATCCGTCCGATCCTTGACCATCTGTCAAGGCTTTATGAGCGAGAGCGCGATGCAGATAAGAGATAGTTTGACTTACCAATGTCATATGTACGGGTTCATGCTTCCACGATTCGTTGTCTACGCCGAGCATGGCCTCCGCGCGCACTCTGTAGCCTAGACTCTCATAGAAACCGGTGTTGGCATAGTCAGACGAGTGAAGCCAGATAGGCGTCTCATCAGCCTGTATTGACAGATGAGCGTTCCGACTTGGTGGAGGATATGTCATGCGGGTTCGTACCAGCGTCCCGAAATGATGCATGAGCGCGCTAGCATAACCTTTGCCCTGTTTGTCCGGGCGGGTCGCCAATAGATTGACATACCACATGCCATCTTTTGCATCCCCCAGCGCTTCACTCTCCTCCTTCTCGACGACCTTCTGGTATTCAAGCACTCTTCTTCTCCCCTCAGCTGGGAAACGCGGGTTTGCCGGCGAGTAAAGCCGCTTGTTGTACCACTGCTGGAACCGTAGGATGCTTTTGCTGAGCATCGACGGAGGGGGGGAAGTACTTGGCGGTTCAATGCTAATTCCCGAAAGGTGAGATGCGCGTAGTTGATACAAATATGAGGAGAATCGATCTCACCCAAGTAACACCGCATCACCATTGCCGACCATAAGCGCCACGCCCGAGTCGATTTGCCTGATGAAGTGAAGATACAACATGATACGGCTCATGATAGGGTTCTCAGGAGGTGCGTACTCCTGGAGACGCTGTGAGATACCATGCAATGTCGAGGGCGGCACAGAGTTTACCTGTAGATAGAGCACCATCGGGTTCTTGGCGAAAGCCAGCTCTTGCGTTTTGGCGGCGCGGCCTATCTTGGCTTGGATACGTCAGAGATAGAGAACAGCCATGTAATTCATTTGCAGACGTACACCACGTTAAGGGTCGAACTCGCGGTGCGGATTTGGATAGATGTTTCTTAGACATAATTGTCAAAGCACCGCGATTCGTACGCGTGAGTGAGGAGCAGCGCAAAGGAGGGCAGTGTATGTGAGACAGTGTGCGGAGCCCAAAGCCTTTATATGCCGTCCATAGCCGTCGAACAGCGCCCAACCCTGGCCGCAGCGCATTTCAAGCGCTTCTGCGTGCATGTTGCAGTAGCTTTGCCTTTCCGGAGCATAATACACCTCGTGCAGGAGAGCACAGTCCACGCAGTTCACGCTCTCCACAGTCATTATAGCGGGAATATCTTCCCTTTGGTTATCAAGACACGCTACTTGAGATTCTCCAAGGTCGAGAGCATGCACGCGCAGCCATGGTGATGGTTGGAGACAGGACGGAGACTGCGCCGGCGGCACTCTGGGCGTCGGCCCGTTGTGCCGAAACTCCAACCTTGCTCATTGAGCGGCCACGAGCATCTCTTCCCGAGCTTCCATTCAGTGACTTCGCCCGATCTACATCTAACAGGCTCCCTCGACCAGCATGGTATTCATCTCCTTGACCTTCCCGTTCTTCTGGCGCTCACGCATATAACCCCTCAGTCTTACGAAATTCGCATGTCCAACTCGCGCGGCTTGCCGTACTTCTTTAACACACAAACCCAGCAATCGTCCTGGGAGGCGCCCGCCGAACTTACGAAGGAGCAAGTTGAGATGCTTCCTGGAGCTCACCTCTTGAGTGGTGGAAATGGTGGCGGTAGCAAGCCCTCACATGTGCGCGCCAGTCATCTGCTTGTGAAGCATAATGGCAGCCGTCGACCTTCGAGTTGGAAAGAGGTGTGTCACGAATGTGCTGCAATCCATGTCCATCCCTCAGGTCATATAATCTCAGTCCAACATCACCCGCTCGAGAGAAGAGGCCATAGAGATCTTGAAGGGATACGAGTCCAAGATCGGCGGTGACCCGTCCAAGTTCGCGGAGCTCGCCCAGGAGCACTCGGACTGCTCCTCGCATAGCAACGGCGGCGATCTCGGCAATTTCGGTCCCGGACAGATGCAGAAGGCTTTCGAGGACGCTACGTATGCGCTCAAGGTCGGCGAGATGAGCGGTGTTGTCAGCACAGACAGTGGTGTCCACCTCATCCTTCGCACTGCGTGAAGTGCAGCCCGTTAGTAAGAAGACCAAATGTAACGTGCTTGTACGATATCGAAGCTTTGCCTATATCTCATATAGAAGCCTTTTGAGGGCACATTCGCAGTACCTGGAACTGTCCATCAGATAGGCGTGTACATCAGCGACTTCAAGATCACGGTGCTAAAGCCCGTACATGATGCCCAGGGCAAGTGTGAGACGAGGCGCTTACCTCTTCTCTAAACGACCATCATCTCTACTCCAGCTCATTTAGCTCGCTGAGCTTTCCGGCTCCTGAGAGGGACCATGACAACTATCAAATCTTCCACCACACTCGCTTTGGAACTCGAGGACCTGATGGCGTCAGGCGAACAGAGCACGCCCATGTCGCTTTCCCGTCTGGGAAACCGCGCGTTCCATCAGTTCACGTATACCGGCGACATTCAGGACGTGGACGTCGCGATACGTGCCTTCGCGAACAGCCTTTCCTTGCTCTCCGAGGATCAGCACCAAGCAGAGAGACTCGCCATGTTGAACATGCTGGTTGCTGCCTATAGCGACCGGTTCGCTAGTTTCCAAACCACCGTCGATTTGACGCATATCGTAAACCACTTACGCCGCGTCGTGGACGCCGTCGTGTCAGACGCAGGCGCCGCACACAATAGGCTCGCAATGGCCTTGCAAACCAGGTTCGACAACCTTGGGAACCGAGAGGACGTGGATGAGGCGATTGCATGCTTTCAGCGCGCAGTCGAACTCGCGATCGAGAACGACTTCGCATTGGTGCCCGTCTATCTGAACAACCTCAGCAACGCCCTTCGCACGCGCTTTGACCGTTTGGACGACATGGCGGATTTGAATGCTGCCATATCCTTCGCCGAGAAAGCGGTTGCACTACAGGGTGACGACAGTCCCTTCCTGAATAATCTCGGTGCATGTCTCTTCGAGCGCTTCGAAAGGCTCGGGGATGGAAACGATATCGAGGCGGCGGCCACACACTTACGACGCGCCGTTGATTTTGCCACCGATGATGAAGTGTACAAGCCGCACTATATGCACACACTAGGCACCGTGTTGCACAAGCGCTACGAGCTGTCGAATCAACTAGACGTTCTGGACGACTGTATCGAGGTACTTCGACAGGCGGTACTGTTGACAGACGAGCGCGCTATCCACTATGCATCTCTGCTGAGTCATCTTGGAACCGCGCTGTGCGCTCGCTTCGAGGCACTGGACAACCCGCAAGACGTGCAGGACGCTGTCGAAAGCCATCGCGCTGCGGTTGCGTGCACGCCTGACGATAATCCTGACAAGGTCACTTGGCTGAGCAACATGGCTCATGCATTCCTTGTCACCTTCATACGCGACGGGGAGGCACAAAATATTCAAAACGCGATCGCGAGCTATCGCCGAGTCGTTTCTCTTACAGACGATGAGGATCCGTCATTGTGTATCTACCTGGGCAATCTTGGAGCCGCGTTGTCGATGCATGCCGAGGTGTCCGGGCGGATGGACGACCTTGACGAAAGTATCACGCTTTTGCAAAGAGCCCTCAAGATCGCGCCCGCGGATCGCGCAGAGAAGCCTATCTGGCTTGACTCGTTGGGGATCGCACTTCATGACCGATATCGAGATGGTCAGGATCTCGAGGACCTGGAAACGTCCTTACTCGTGCTCCGGTCGGCTATCGAACTCACGTCGCCGATACACTCGAGAAGGGCGAGGCGACTGCATAATCTCAGCGCTACTCTATTCAGTCGCTATGAGCGGTTTCGAGATTCCGAGGATATCGAGGCCGCAATTGGCAATTTACGCGAAGCGGTCGCCCTCACGGCGCAAGGTTCAGTCACGGATCAGGCATCTTATCTCAGCGCGCTTGGTCTCGCATACCAAAGCCGATACGAATATCTTGGAATGTCAGACGATATAGACAGCGCCATCGCGTGTCTCACGCGTGCCGTCGAGTGCACACCAGACGGCCATGCTGATAAGGCTGGCTGGCTGAGCAACCTAGGGTTGGCACACACATCCCGCTACGACAAAGGAGGGCGCGATCCAAACGACCTCACCCGGGCCATCAAGGCCCTGACGCGCACGTCTGAGCTGACGCCTGGCGCGCATGCTAAACAGGCGATCTGGCACCACAATATCGCCTTCGCTTACCAGAGACGCTACGAGCATCATGATTTCGTGGAAGACTATGATTCCGCCTGTGCCGCTTATGAGCGGGCGGTAAAGCATGTTGAGAGCAGTGCTTTCGATCGGTTGCGCTCTGCGCTCTACTGGGCGGAGCTATCGTCGTCGCAAAGCCTCACCGCTGCGTTGCCCGCGTATAGTCATGTTCTATCGCTCATCCCATCTGTGGCATGGCTTGGTCGTAACATAGGAACCCGCTACGAGCAGCTCTCTCATATGGGCCCCGCTATTAGTGGCGCTGCGGCGGCTTGCATTGGAAACGGCGACGTGCGCCGTGCACTCGAGTGGCTGGAGCAGGGTCGGAGCGTTGTTTGGGGACAACTACTTGCGTTGCGTTCGCCTGTGGATGAGCTCCGGGAACAGAATCCGGGAATCGCGAAGGAGCTTGAAGATCTTGCGCGTGCTCTTCAGAGTGCTGGCGCAGTGACAGCGCGCCCAGGAATGACGTCGAGAGAGAAGAAGGCGCGCATGAACCTATCGACATCCCGATCTTTGAGCGATGAAGCGCAGAAGCATAGCCAACTAGCGAGAGAGTACGAGAGCACCATCGAGCATGTGCGAAAGCTCCCTGGATTCGACAGGTTCTTGAAACCAAAGAGGGCGGAAGAGCTTCTCCTCGCTGCCGAAAGTGGCCCAGTTGTCCTCATCAACGTGCACGACTCGCGCAGCGACGCCCTCGCTGTATGCAAATCTGGAGAAATCGTACATGTTCCACTACCCGGCCTCAATACAGCCCTCGTGAAGCGTATGCACTATAGGTTAGGCTTGCATTTGAACGCTATCGGTGTCCGAGATCGTGCCTTCCTGCTGAAGAAGAGTGGACTGTCTTCTATACCTATCCATGCTCATGGATGGAGTCAGGCACCATCGCCTATTTTCGAGAGAATCCTCGGCACTCTATGGGTTTGCGTAGTTCAGCCTATTCTCTCAGCATTGGAATATGCCGTGCGTCCTTCATGGTCATACTTGTATTGCACTGAGAGCTAACCCTGAACCACGCAGCTTTATGATGCGGCGCAAAGTCGCATACCTCACGTTACCTGGTGCACGACAGGGCCCCTTGCCTATCTACCTCTCCATGCAGCCGGGATATATGACGGATCGGTGGCAATGAAGTCATCCGACTTCGTGGTCTCTTCTTACACACCTTCGCTATCGACATTGATCGAAGCTCGTCGTCGTGCTAGAGGGAGGTTGATCGACCTCGAGCTCCCTCGTCTGCTCGTCGTTGCTCAGCCAAATACGCCGAATCAGAGTCCACTGCCGGGTACCATGGAAGAACAGCGTCTCGTCTGTGCGCATTTCAAGGAAGGAGTCAAGATCCTCAACGACTCCGACGCAACGGTCTCCGGTGTATTGCAGGGCATGGCGGCACATCCTTGGGCACACCTTGCATGCCACGGGATGCAAGTGCCCCGTAGCCCCACTGAGAGTGCATTTGCACTTCACGACGGCCACTTATCCATAGCGGAGTTGATGTGTACGGATCTTCCGCGAGCAGAGCTTGCGTTCCTCTCGGCGTGCCAGACAGCGACGGGAGATGTGAATCTTCCGGATGAAAGTGTTCATCTCGCCGCCGCCATGCTTTCAGTTGGGTACACAAGTGTCATCGGCACTATATGGAGCATTGGAGACGAAGATGCGCCAATCTTGGCCAACGCCTTCTACGCGAGGGTGTTAGAGGACATCGGAGGTAATCAGGTTGGATCAAGGACGGCGTACGCATTACATGATGCAGTGGAAGAGCTGAAAGTGAGGATTGGAGAACACAACTTTGCAAAATGGGTACCCTTCGTTCACTATGGACTGTAGTGTATAGATGATATATACAT